TATATATATATATATATATATATATATATATATTTTTTTTTTTTTTTTTAAAGTACCTTGAACCTTTGCACTTATTGCTGATTTTCAGATTTTTTTTATTAGTGAAACAGGAAACAATAGAAAGATATTTTAAATAAACCATTCAGAAAAGCAATAAATAAATAAATACCCGGAATAAAAACAGAAGAAGAATTTATTTATTCCATGCTCAAGCATGGAAGGATTTGAGACTATAATTTCTACACACAGATCTACATGTCCACATATACTAAGACAAAGTTTTAAAACGGCTTTTGTAGGTTCCTGGAAACATTTTTAGATTTTATTTTGCTCAATGACAGAAGTGACATTTAGCTTGATGTGAATTACATTTTTGCATCTCTTCAAATTATTAGGGCTGTAGTGATACAGTAATCTTACGATATGATACGATACACTGTATTCTGTTCACGATATGATATATATTGCGATATTCATCAAACGATACAATTCAATACACTTTTGCGATTTTCTGAAAGATTTTAGAGGGACAGAGTGATTTTGGTGATATTTTGTGACTGTTATAGAGTTGGATTGAATTAATTTAACTGAAAACTGATTAAAACACCAACCTGGCTCTGGTTGGACATGGACACAGACTTAAAGTCGACAGCTGGACAAAAAGAATCAAAGACGTAGTGAGAAAACATGTTTCTTTTAATTGAAACAGTACAAACTGTAGCTTACATGGATTTATAAAGTAAATAAAGTGCACCAAGTACCTGCTCTGAATAGTTTGATACCTTTTTAACCTTGACACTTAACATCTGAAGGAATCACTCTAAGCCTGATGACCTAATCACTCTCCCGGCGAAGCAAGCAGTGAGTGAGCAAGGTGACAGTTGGATGTTACGATACTTGCGGATGAATATCGATTTTATATCGATATATATCGCGGTATCGATATTATCCTACAGCCCTACAAATTATGTTTAAAATTTCAAATTGATCAATTCTTCTTTCTTATTTTCCTTCTCATTGATGATGCCTTTTAACTTCGAGAGGTCAGCTCGACAGGTTTGAATTCTCAAAGCCTTCCAGCAGATTCAATTCTATATATATTTCAAACCTTTTTGATGAGACTCAGACCACAAGGCAGACAGACACAAAGCTTAAAACTTTATTTGAACTAAACAAACACTAACACTCAGTTTAGCCCTGAGCTTACTTAAAGATTTATACTTTTAGAACATCAAAGAAAAAAACCTTGTGCCTGCTTAGCGCTGTTTGACGTGCATAAACCATCATCTCATCTAAAGTTTTGCACAACTTCCCTGTTTCTAGGTCCAGAGCATGTCCCCAACATGGCAACTACTGACTTAATGCTTTCCTGTTCTGTTCCTCCTTCAGCCCAAAGTGGAGGTTTGAAAATAACTATTTGTGTAACTGTAGGCCCAAGACAAACTGGGAACATGCAATTCTCCATCATGTTAAAATGTGAGATCCTGGACACAAATGCAAACTGACTCTGATGCCTCAGGAGATACTGAAAGTGGAAGAAAGATTACATGTCAAGCTTTTCAACATATCCAACTTTAAAAATGTACTTTAGTATGAATGTTACTTTTACATTTTAGAATAAGATAGAAGAAAAAGCCAAAGTCTTGTTGGAGCCAAGTGACTCATTTCCATAGTATGGGAAAAATCTGTAGCACTAAAATAGAATGAATAATTTGCAGTCTGTTGAAAGAGCCTAAAGAAGAAGAAACAAGTACATTCTTCTATAAATCTTGTATAAATCGCTTTGAGAAATTCTATGGAGAAATTCCATAAAAACAGCTAACTGTTCAAACCTCATCCTATTACATCTACTATATTTAAAAACCTCACTTGTTTCTATTAGTTGTGGATATAGTTACCAAGAGCCATTCTGAAGTAGCCCTATATGCAGCTGGAATTGAATTCCTACTTTGATTGAATATGATTTCATCCGGCAACACAGACAATATTGAATTTCTCTCTCTCCCCCTTTCTCGCTCACTTAAAATACATATAACTATATATTCTTTCTTATACTGTAAGTGAAAACCATCTTAGCACTACTGTATGAGAAGGTAGCACTTATAGTTTACCATGTCTCCGCTACCAGGGGTGCAGAACCAATATTTTATTAATCAAATAATCTACTGATTATTTTGACGATTAATCGAGTAATTGAATAAAAAACTGGACAAAATAAAATGGTAACAGCAGTATTAATAGTGGAGATCAATACAGGTTCTAATTTTCATATCTGTGCATCCTTAACAATTACTTTCCTGTATCTTAAAAAAAAAATTCTGTAACAGCTCAGGTTTTACGTCAACCTGAACAAAAATTACACAAATCTGAAATTATACTCAATTTAATAATACAAATAATAAACCAGCAGGTTCACAAAGACACTTCAAAAAAATGTTCATATTCCAGTTTTAGTTCATCTTCAGCCAATTTCTAGATCAACTCCACTCATACAAAATCTAGAATTTATTTAGATTTTGTAAAACTAAAGATGTTGCATTAAGCAAATCCCTGGTTCAGAGACTGTCTGAGCTTCTCAAAGCAATATTATGTCTTAAATTTATGTGATGTTCGTGTGAGAGTGAAATAAAACTGAAAAAACAGGGGAACTGCTGGGAAAAAAAACCCAAAAAAACTTTTCAGTCTTTTAGTTTTCGAAATGTGACCGTTGGGGTGTTGACCTGACCTCAGCCATCTCAACAGTCGATTGCTGGGCTGTCAAATGTCTTTTTTTAATGCTTAGAGCTTTAAGACTTAGCCTCCTGAAGTAAATGTCCAGCAGGTTGGGAGGTTGTGTCCAGGCGGCATGTTAGGCTAAACTCACCGTAGGGCGTCGGGTCATGGAAAGAGCAATTCAGACACAGAAAGCCAGTAGCTCAGCAGGCAGATTTGTCTTTTAATCAGAAGGTTGATAGAGTTCAACTTCCTAAGGTTATGTGCAAATGTTTCGTTAAGTTTAATAAATCCAAAACTGTTCACAATGGGCCTTTCACTTTGCCTTAAATCAAAGTAATGATTACTGTTCAAAATTTTAAACCCATGTTGGGTTCTCACAACGAAATAAAAACATTTCATTGGTCACTGGGAATGTAAATACATTTTATGTAGGCCAGGAGAACAGCAGAGAATTAAACAGAGCTGACAAATGCTAATTGGCAAATGATGTTATTATTATCTAAACAATATTTTGAGCTGTATTTGTTAAAAATGAGGGAGTTACTAGTTCATGTTAGTACTGTAATTAACTCTCAACATGAATAAATTCAGCTTGGTTCAAAGTGAACTGGCAGATCACTGATAGGAATCTTGTTCTTTAGCAGAAAAAAAAAACAGTATTAATGCTTTTCAGCTTCTTAGCATGAATTAAATATATTTTCATCAGCTGAGCGAGCATTCACTCTTGTACCAGCAAGGCTTAGATGCAGGTTACAAAATGCTGTGTGGTCCTTTCAAACAGATTCTTACTCCAATGCAGTTTAACCACCTTCATGTTTACTGAGGAGCTAATTTAGCAAAACTTGACTTGTGGATTACACCAAATTGTATCTTCAGACTATTTGGTGCAACACTTGGTCTCCTTCGTGGTGATGATTCTGATCAAAGCTCTCTAAATAATTAGGTAAGAAAAATAGTGGTCTGGTGTGTATTACAAAATAACTGCATTTCCTCCTCTGAGGGTAAAAATAAAGAAAAATCTAAGACGACGGTGAGTTTCATTCTTCTAAATATGCCAGTCTAAATGAGGAATGCCTCTGCATCTTCTCAAACTGAGAAGCCACAGAGCCAGATGGACACTTTGGATTAAATGTGGAATAGTTAAAAAATAAAAAATAAAAGTAAGAAAACAATTGTCAAGTACCATGATTATTTTTTATAACAAGTCTGCAGAAAATGAGTCACAACAAGCCCGATTGTGTACAATATTTGGTCGTTATCTCGTTGTGCACCAGATCAAATAAAGCTGATAAAAGTGATTTAATCTGAAAAGTGACCAGCACAATTTAATTTACAATTCTTAAGAATTCTAATCTAATCTTTTACATGATCAGGTCAAATAAGAGCAAAACAAGTTTTTCTTGTAAATCCTGAATACAAAAGAAACACCTTTAAGGACTACTACCTATGTGAAAGTCCTCGTCTTCGTAGATCATCTCTGCATTGTCCACAATAGGAGGAGGTGGGCATTTCTTCAGACGATAAGCTGGGGGGGGAAATAGGTAGAAAAAAACCTTATGCCCAGATTACAGAGCAACAAAATGTGCAACATTATTGTGCATATGTTTCTTTGATAAAGTGTGGGAAATTTTGTGTATTCCCTGCAAAAGATTATTATTTTTATTCATGTGTTTTTATTTTCCTAATGCTGTCGTCATAGACACCACAAAGATCCCAAAGCAGCACTGTTCTTATAGACAGTTGATCTCGTTCAATATTTAGTTTAAGGTTAGGTTTATCACAGCATACAGTCACAAAATTATTATTTAGGGGATATATGTAAAACAATTTATCAACATATTAACAATAACATAACTTATCTTACTGCTCACGTAGTCAGAATAAAGTGTTTAAATAAATATTTAAAATAATCTGCCCAACATAACAACAGATGGTGTTGATGCAGAACATAATCTCAATTGAAAACCGATCAAGAGAGTTTACAGCCTTCCTCAAAGCTTGGAGCAGAACATTTGACTGAATCTGTGCCTCTAAAATAACATGATTTAAAATGGTGATTTTTAAACAGCAACAACAGATAAATTCTACAGGGACTATAACGAAAACCAATAAATCTGGCTTTATCAAGTTCAATGCTTTGACAGTTGAGTAGACAGCTTTGGCAGACAGGCAGGCAGATAGACGGAAACATGAAAATAAAACTTAATATAAAAAATGTAGCAGAATTGAGTTACCATGGAAGTTGAGGATAAAGAATCCTCCAGTAGAGAAGTCAGAATGAAAGCGAACCAGGACCTTCGAGCTGGAACTGTAGGCCGACTCTAATGCTGTGTTACCACTGAAGACTCCCAGCTGGGGACTAGATGTATCAGGCCCATCCCTTAAAAACGAGACGGATGAAAAACTGATTACACTCAAACTGGGAGAGAACAAATCTGAAACGTTAAAATGAATTAAATGAATTGTAAATGTCGATAGGTAATCAGGACTTGAAATTGAAGGCAATGAAGAAATGACAAGAGGAAAAGAAAATGAGGAGGACCCAATGGTTGAAGGGGAGAGAGTCGGCCAGAAAGACTGGTGCTTCTGCAGCTGCTGCTTGGAAACGCCAACCCAGAAGATGAGGATGTGCTGCAAAGAGCTCTTGTTTCTAACTCAAGCTGTTTACGGTAAGCATCGGGATCAAAATATTTTCTCAAATATATTAGAAGGGTGTGTTACAAAGACTTAAGGATGCTTCATTGTCACTTTAAGCATCCATTAATTATCTTCCAAATTGTTTTGATTCTGCATTAGCTCCTGCTAATGGTTTTAGCTCCTGCTAATAGCAAACTGTTTAGTTGTTTCAGTGTACCTGAAAACGTCGAGGAAGTGTAGCATCTGAAAACAAGTTACATTTAAAGTCTCGCTCTAACCTGGTTTCATCTAATTATCTTTTCAAAATTTAAAGATATTGTGTTTTCTCAGTATTGTTATTAAATCCCTAAGTTTCTTAAGTTATCTCAGTGTTATTCTATATACCCAACCTTATCTGTAACGTATTTAAAAACTTTGCTTCTGACATGAATTGCTCCTGACAAGTATAGAATTCAAAGAACAAAACAAAATACAAGTTATGTTAATGTTTGCCTGGAGATTAAGGGCAAAGAAGAGGGATCAGTGTGAACTTCTTGTTATATGCTTCATTGTTTGACGGATTTAATTAGAGCATTAGAGATAAACAAAACAGTCAGCGTTAGTAAAACAAAACTTTGAAAAATCCGCACGCTTGTTAACAAAGAAGAAAGGAAGAATCTTTCAGCGCTTCCTGTATTTTTTCATCAATCCTTTAAACCAATTTCAAACAAATTTATTGAACAAAGCGCACAGATTAAAGGCTTTACTTCACTCATTAAATATTGAATGTTGCTGAAAGGTTACATTTCCTATGGTTTCTAAATGACCAGTTTTAGCCTTTAATGAACATGCCATTGGATTAAACAAGGGTTTTAAAATTTTAATTCAAGAGGAGGGCCTGGGATCTCTTGCCTCCTCAATAATTCAAACTTCTGAAGGTGTTGGAGCTCATTTAACATTATAAAATTCTGCTACTTAGTTGCTTTAAAGGAAAGTAAAGTCAACATTCTGTGGTTTTATTTTGCACCTACATAACTAAACAAACTGAATTTATTCTTATAAATCAAAGAAAAAAATATATAAACACATACACACACGCACGCACACACACACACACACATACACACACACACACACACATATATATATATATATATATATATATAAGGGTTATCAAGATGCAGCATAAAACAAAGATTTAATCTTTGTTTTGCAGAGAATATAGTGGAATCTTAAAGCATCCATCATGAAGATTTATATAATTTTGCAAATCCAAATCTGAACTACAATGATAACAGGAAAATGTCACATTATAATTTTATAGAGATTTTGAGAACGTCATTGTTTTGTCTGCCTGTTTTTTTTGTCTTTTTTATGCTACAGAGGGCTTTATTATAATATAATTATGTAATCATTGTATGCCTGAAGAATGCTTTGACTAATACACCATGGATAAAAAAAAAAAACAAAAAAAAACAAAAAACATATGTATATTATCCATATACTTATGGACAATCCTTGACCTTTGACTGTTGTTTTTTTCTTTATACTGTGATCCTGCTGCCTACTGTGCTGTTTCACTGATATTAGGCAAAAGTCCAAATGCAACTGGTTAAAGACCACAGGGACAGTTAGCAGCTCCTCACATCCGGATGCATACGCTGTCACATAACACCCCAGAGAAAACAAGGCAGACACACATCTGTGTTGTGTTAACATGATGTAATAAAGCACAGCCAAATTAAATCCACTATGGAGAAAGAATAATGAAAGTTTAAGCTTGGCGGTTTCACTAAATTTGTTGAAAGAATGTGTTTAGTTAAAATCATAATGAAAATCTTTGAATGCATAAGCAGATTTCATTTTATGTAACCCACTGAGCCGGTTTATTTCAGAAAATAATCATTTAAACTTATGTTTTTAAAATTCTAACACACCGTTTTTGGACCATCCCTAATATATTTTGATATAAAATAATTAAAAGATTTAAAATGAAAATGCTCATATATTCCATACTTTCCTGCCAAACTTTCAGTGTCTGTATCTTTAAGTACCCGTAATCAGAAAGCTTTCCAAAAACTATCAAATCATGACACAGCACCATTCCAAATCTCAATATCCGAGTTAGATGTGTTTTACTTCTCTGCTTTTATGATGCATTTAATGAAACCAATCCCCATAGCAGAAACTATGTTTATTAGAAAATATTCTGTCTGTGCACATCATCTAAATCGAAATTCTGCGTGCCAACCTTCCACATGAAAAGCACATTTATGTTTGTCAAGATCAATTACTCAAATTGAAAATAAAGGCAGTAGGTAACTGATTGTAATATTAGGTATCTTTGCCAGCTGATTCTGTTTACATAAAAATAATTGCAAATGCAGGGAGCCTTTGCGCCAGGACCTCTAAATCTGTCTAAAACCTTGGAAGGTAGATGGTGATGGTATTCCACTGGGTCTGCGAAAAGCTCTCCTCTCTCAAGTGTCAGCCCCCAGTAGCTTCCAAATATATTCATGAAATACAGCAGGACTGAGCCATCATGTGTGTACTCATCCCACATTACCGAGCTCTTTTGGTGGCGTCCACATATGGATGCAATTTCGTAATTTAGTTCCAAATGAAATGTACCAAAAAACACATCAATCATAAAAATCAATTTGCAGCAGCAAAATAACTCAGTGCAGAGCCTCTCCATGGCTAAATGCAAGGCTCTATGAGCTGGACAGATTGAAAAACCAGAAGCCACAAAGTGTGAATTCATTGCTTCCCCCTTCGCCTGCAGCTACTTACTCCCCAGAGCGCATTGCTTGAACCTGAAAATAAAAAGCCAAGTACCAAGTCACCCATCTAAAAGCAAACTTGCAACACCTGCTCAATCCTAATTTCCTTTCTGATAAATCTGTTGCTCATCTTGATTTTTGATAGGATGCATGATGCACAGCCTAGCCGCTCTGCAATCTTGTCAGATCCAGTTGAGTCCTGTTCGATTTGTGAATCCAGATCTGCCACTCCATTCATTACATTTCCCAAACCCCACTGACTCTCATCATTACTTCCAGAGTTCCCAAATCCTCTGTGGGCCTACATCTGGGCATAGTGCTGACTTAGATTGAATTGGTCAGTGTTCCCATTGTAAATGCATTACTCTCACAGTCCTTGTATTGCACTCTTACCTCCACACTGAATCCCATCTTTATAGCAGTAGAGGTTATATACTGATTGCAGGGTGTACATGTGTCTATGTATTAGGTTTAAGGACATATAACCTCTGCTACAAACATGCATTATATCAATTTAAACAGCATATCATTTTACAATTGTTTGAGACTTAAAAGCAATTCTGGTGCATAGCTTTGTAAAACCAAGACAGCCTCTCAATAACGTATGATGAAATATATTAAAGAAAACCAGAATTAGACATCCTGTGGGGTTAGAAAACACCAAGCCCATCCCACGAATTTAAAAAAATTTAGATTCTATCGGGCGGCATGTCCATTACAGCTGAACAGGGAATGGGTGAATACATCCTAAACAGAACTGTCAGTGATGCAAAAACTGTACGATGAATCCAATATATCCACCCTTTTCTGTAGTGAATACTATGAATGAGTGTGAATTTCCCCAAGACTTACCAGACAGCAATATAATCAGTGACTGGCTCTGTCTGCAGCAAAGTAAAGTTGATGTAAACCCCGTGGCCATGGGGAACGCTGATGAGCCAGCTGCAGTCTTGGGAGTTGGGGTATTCGTTGGGGTACTGAGGTGAATAGATGGTCCCATTCTCAGCTGTCACATTATATCCGCAAGGAGCTGTAAGAAGCAGAATTATGAGACTGTCAGTTTGAAAAGTTGGAAAAAGAACAAAAAGACAGGAGTTACTGTTAAACTGCAGACGGTGAGGCATATGATTAATCTTGAAATCGTTCTTTGTGATTGAGGCATAAGCAACCATTTTCCGTAGTGACTCCAGAACAAAACAGGGAAAATTCAAAGGTTAATTTATGAAATTAAACCATCAAAGTTAAACTCTATTTAGCTCCATACAAATTAGAAATAAAAAATATATATAATTACACCCTTCTTAATCAATGAAATAATGTTAATTGTAATGTTTCCACTAGTACTTTGATGACTTATCTTTAGCAATTAGGTCAAAATAATTCGGGTTGCAAGGCCTTCTGCACCTCAGCATCATCTTCTGCTCCCTACAGCAGATTTTAGACAGGGCTGTGACTGAGCCACTCCAAAACGTTATTATTATTTCCAGTCTGAAGAAACTTATTGGTAAAATAAAAAATAGCTTAAACCTAAATCTGCCAGAGGTATAAATAGGTTTGGGCTTAGTTGTACCATTATCCTCCACTTTGCTTAAGTCGGATTCAATGAGACCTTCACAAGTAAGACATTCAAAGCCTGACAGCCATCAGGATTTCACAACAGGATAGTTCATTGACTGAGCAATGAATGCAGAGAAAATTCCCATATCTGTTTGGTTTGGTTCAGTTAAAATACTCATGGGCTATTTCCAAGACACTGCCCAGGAAGTATGGCAAACCATTTTAACATATTATCATAAATGCCTTTAGGGCTTAATTGGGATGAACTGGGATTCCTGAAGCAACAGAAAGGTACAATGTGGCCAGACACTCAGTAGCTTCAGTGGCTGAAGAAGCCAGAGCTTAGACATGGAAGAAAGGAATGTTCTGGAAAACCTTTTAGCAATTTACAAACAGAAAGCAGCCTAAAATTTGCGAATGCTTTAATATGGGAACTGCTGACTCAGACTGAGAACACTGTCAAATAGTGCAGGAAAACTTTGAGGATCCCTTCAATTTGTTCCACATGCCCTCCTTGGAAGCGGCTGTGCATGAAGGCGCAGGAGACAGTTATTTCATCAGAACAGCCTAAGTCACTGAGGAAGAAACATGTAATGAAATTTGTCTGAGTAAAAGTATTTGAGATGGTTGTAATGTTCAGTTTGGATAGGAAGAATCTCATTCTATCTGAAATGTGAATTTCTACCATAAGGAAATATTTTTTCAGTATTTGGTTTGAAAATACTCCGTCTTTATTAAATGTTAAAACATCTTGCCACAAGCGAGATGTTGAGCTATTTTAAGACTCCACGTTTCAGGTAAACCAGGGGTTTCTTGTTTGGTCTGGACCAGAGTCTGGATGAGATTCCAGACATGTGAACAAAGACGACTACCCAAAAAATAAACCAAGCCCCTACAAAACGGACCACACAGTGGTCTAAAGTGAAAGGAACCTCTGAAATTACATTGTTGTAGCAACTTTGGCAATAAAGACATGTTCACGTTGAAATGTTGCAAAGAACATATTGAATGAGTTATAGTTTCCTCAAAGATGAATGTGGTGGACACCTGGAGTTTAATTCTCACTTAGAGTTTGATTTAATCCAGTTTTTCTTACCCTCACAACGGGGGAAGGGGTGATTCCATTTCCGATTTATCCCATGGAGGCACGTTAGCACCTTGTGTCCAATCAGAACATAACCAGAGTAGCACTGAAAGGTTATGGATTGTCCAGCACTGTAGTCACTTTTGATAATGTCACCATTTGGGAAAGGAGAAGGATCCTGGCAGTTCTGAAGCTGATAAGCTAAAGATAAAAAAAAGAACATAGAAATAAAAGTTACCACAGAAATAGTAGCAATTGACTTCACATTATTCTTGGCTTTGGTCATCAGAACAGAAATATATGCTACTGCTTAATAAACAGATAGTTGAGGTAAACATACACATATTAGACAATAAGTGCGGAGGGAAACTTTTCTCTCTTATGTGCACATATCTGCATAACATGTCAGCACTTGAAAAGCACACAGAGGAAATGCCAGCGGATGCTAGTCTATTAAAGGCATATTTTTCTCTGCATTGGGTGTCATGGCAAGTGAAGCCTTTCCATTAAATGTGCCTTTCACAGTAAAAGGAGGTGACTGACATTGAAGTCCTTGCTACCACAAAGGGTGACGGAACAAGTGGCACCTAAAAAGCACTTGAAAGAACTCGCACAACTCACACAAGGTCATCTTAAACACAGTCTATAGTGCTGTGCAGTCGTCTGAATCACAGAAAGCATGTTTGGTAAAAGTAGGATCTAAAACTTGGGAAGGATCTGATGACATATTAGAGGATGAAAACATTTTCAGAACAATGTGACATTAAAACAATATCCACAAAGCAGATATCCGAACTATTACGGCTAGGACTTGGAAACTCAAAAGTACAAAATTAATTTTAGAAAAGCAGGAGGCAGAAGTTTGGATGTACTGTATGTAGGCCAGACGAAATGCTTGTGGAAGCAATAGAACTTACAGTTTGGATATTACAACCAACATTTTGGCTTCAACTAACTCCAGGAACAACTTTCATCATTTTTGTGTTGAAAAGTGCACTTATCAGCAGTGCGATGTCAGAGTGCCAACGCCTATAACTAGAATTAGAGCTCCCTTAAGCTTTTATGTGCCACACTTGGGTTCAAATGGTAGCGTATGGGTACATTTTCCCAGTATGTTTACAGTCACATTTTTGGCTTGAGCACTTATCCAGCTCCGGTTGCACAGGTGTGCACACAGATATGCAGTTTCACGACCTCTTAAGCTTTAAACACCTGAGATTGCATGTGATGCAGAATGGCACTGGAATGAAGGTACACTCTGCTTGGGTTGTAATCACGAGGTTCTGTGTGTGCTGTAGCCTCCTGCCAAAGAATATTGCTGTCAGGTGTCATTGGGTGTTACTCATTGTGCGGAAGGATTTTGGCATCCCTCAAACATAAAAGTAGGAGGAGGGTGACAGGTGTTACAGTATTAGGGGACTTTCTGTTGCAGAGAAGAAGAAAGAAATTAAGATGTGTACATAAATGTGCATTAGCTTATGTGTAAGTAAGCCTTGTTCTACTTATCCTGGCATACAGGCCCATAATGCATCTCTCGTGTCTTTGAAGTGAAACACTCAGGGCTACAAGTAAAGCCTGCTGGACATGATGCCAGTCTCTCACAGGGGTTTACTGGCAATCCATCTTTTTTAATGATGAACGAAAAGCCACAAGGTTTTTAAAGTCTTTAGCATGACTCATCCAGGGATCAAAGCTCGAAACCTCGTAGCAATATGTTTTTTCATCCCATAAATCATTTCTTTGAGTTGCCAGGCTTTGTAATTTGGCCGCCAGGTTAGGGGTTCTTAATTTATTCTAAGCCTTTAAGAAGACAATTTTTTCCCCCCTTAATAATTTAGGCAACTACTGTCACCCACTACCTCCCACCAAATGAGAACAACAATAACAGCAGACATGTTTTGCATTCAGTCTTGTACTATCGTCGATGAAGTCAATTTCTTCGGTCAATTTCTGAGGTCGTTTCTCAAAGCATACCTTAAAAATGACTGCAACTTACCCTGGTAGATCAGTCTGAACCCTGGCCTGTTCTCTGAGTGGTCACTGTAGAAGTGGATGATTGTCAGGTGAGTAGTGCTCATCAATGGTGGTGGAATCTGTGAGCCTGTGAATTGACCAATGAGAGCAGAGCTGTGTTGTGGTCCGGCACGGACTTCAAGGAAGTCGTGGTTGTCCTCCGAGGAGAAGTTTTGGAACTGAACATGGGCTCCTAGTAAACAAGCATAAAAGGTTCAAAACCAGCAAAAGAGAAAAAAAACAAAGAAAAAAAAAAAAAATATATATATATATATAAACACTAACAAACAACACAGTACGTGATAACATCAAACAGATTAATACTAATATTTATGCATGAAGTCACAGCCAGGTGACTTATGCTGAAAAGATCTAAAGAAAACACAGTTGTCTCCGATATCTTAAAGATCAATACATATGTTGTATTAAGCCCCTTAACTGTCACCCTCAAAACACTTACATATTGTCAATGGGTCCATCAGGACACCAGTTTCATGATGACACTGGTGCATTTGAAATGACAAATGTTCTCATTTGCAATTTTAATATTTATATATGTGGATAAAGCCTTTTGAATCATTTGGGTAAACATGTACCAAGGTGTCTGTAGTAGCCTGTATGCATGTTTACAATGCAGACAGGTATTGTAAACATATGACACTCGCATATGAAAAATCTGTGGCAGAATTTGCACTAAAAAGAGCAAGTCTACGTGTCCCATACAAGCCAACAAATATACTTAAAATGACATGTTCTTTCGAGAAATGCTCCTTCATCCTTCAATAAAGCCTAACTCACCATATCCAGCTGGCAGGGTGATTTGCCAGGTGCAGTCCAGGTTGCCAGGGTAGTTGCCAGGAAAACCTGGACTGAGGATGACACCACTCATCTCAGATAGGACCCCACCGCAGCGTGCTGGCAATGAGCAAACATAAAACATTGTTTGTAAATGTGAAATATACTCTGGGGATTGTTGCTTTTATCCTTAACGAATGTGAACATGAATGAGCTGCAAAAGGTTTCCAAAGATCTAAAATGTGTGCTGTAAAACTAGAATTAACAAAAAAGTAGGGGCTGTTGAAGCACATTGTTAAATGGATCCTGATATGTGAACAAGTTCAGCGGGAATTGTCTAAAAAGAGCTCCTGAAGCTATTGAATAATTCAATCCTAAACACAAACATGACCTTAACAAAGGTCAGAAACACTAACTTTCCAAAGTGCAAATTCTGTTGGTGTTTGCACCATCTTACACCATTATTTGACTGATGGCTGAACTCACATCAGTGGAGAAACTTCTAGGTTTCAAAAACTTTATTGTAAACTTTAAAAATATACAAATGGAATATGAAAAAATATTTCATCCATACACCTCAGAAAGATGAGTAATACAATTTTTTTAAGCAGATCCACAGGGGGCATTCATTCGTCTTGCAGTTGTTTATTTTTCTTTCTATTGTGTGGATGTACAAAAGTTTTAGATTTACCTCTCAGTTCTAGCACATTGCCATGTAATATTCTGTAACGTTTGTGCCTGCAGGACATCATTTCCTTCCCAGTACAGAAATAATTAATAAAACAATGAAGCCCACAATAAAATGTGTTTGTTTTTGTCTGGGCAATACCTATGCAAAGAGGTGGTGGGTAGTTCCACCGACGCACAGTCCCAGGCATGCATGAGATGTGTGAATGACCCTGAAAAAGATAATCCAGTGTCTTAGATTCATTACATAAAAATACTGTGAAAGATGTATTTTTAACATTAATACATTCATTTTGTACTCTAGGAAAACATAAATAGAGTTGAAAGATGATATTTAGATACAATGTTTTTTGTTTTTTTTTTTTTTTTTCAATGCTAGAATAATGACAGAGTTATTCCCCAGGGTTCTCAGTATACTTTGCTGAAATTTGGGGCCAATTTCTTCTGACAGAGCTGGTGTAGCCGAGTCAGGTTTGTACCTTTTTAGCTCTGTCAAAATTTGTTCTAAGTGACTGAGATCATGGCTTTTATGATGGTCACCCTGAAACAGCCCTTAACGTTATAAAGCTATTTTATAACTCATTTTATGGTATTCCTAGAATGACTATCCAGACAGAAGACTCATACTACATGTGCCCAAGCATTATTTATCCTGGCTGATGTTCTGAGATGATCCTTTAAAATGTGAGTGTATTGTTCTTTCCTGCCACACACTTACCTCAGTTTTTGGACTATTGGCTTTTTCTTTGCTGAATTATATTTAATTTAAAGTTGGCAGAGTGCTTGTTTAACTGTGGATAAAGCTACCTTGTCAGCTTCAGTTAGAATTTTCACACTGTCTTTTTTACTGCTGTTCTGGGTTTCTGCATAAACAGCATAGGAAGAGACATCCATCTCTATAAGCACCGTCTGTCTTTCGCACTTCCTGAATAGCATCGTGGCTGGACATTATGTAAGGCAGGTGTTTCAGGTGTTACCTTAAGTACATTAACATATGGATCTCCCCCAGTCAAGTCAGATGTTGCAAATTAACGTCTTTAAAAGAAATTTCTCTCTCATCATAATTTTAAAATGCATCTTTTTAAACTGCGTTTAAATTTTTTAGACATGAAATTGTATTTAAAAAAAAACAAACTCTATTTATACAGGTTTTTTTAGCATGTATATGTATTTGTTTCAAAGAGGGGCATTTCACATTGAACCAGCATTGTTTTAATGCAGTTGTTCATTGTTGCTGACCACTTTTCACTCATGACTCATGATTACAGTGTGGAGAACAATGTGCTTTTAACAAAGCTGTGTAGTTTAAAGAACACAATAACTGATGCATATCATAAACATCACAGGATTGCTGAGTATGTTGAGTGATTATTACCTGTAGTGTGTAACCAGGTTCACAAATGAAGGCCACCACCTCATTCACCATGTATCTGTCTCCTGTTTTTATGCCGTTTGCTGGGATCATTGGTTCAGGACAAGTGGTCAGCCCAACCGCTGCAACAAAGAAGAAAAACAAACAAAAAACAAAACAGTTTTTTTTATTCCCCCAAAAACATATTTTGATGCAAGTTGGGTTTTTTTCCTGAACATTGCTAAGCACCTGGGTTAGAAACCACTGACCTGAAAAAGTAAATGTGATATGATCGTTAATTCTTAAAATTTTATGCAGAAAAATCTCACTTCCACAAAAATTTTAAAACTTCCCATCCAAAATGTTTTTAAACCTACATTTTAGCATCAAATAAATAATTTATTATGTGTAAAAACAGCAGGAAATCTCTTCTATTTCGCTTTTCTCCATTCATAGGAATTTGACCTTTTCTCAAGACTTTAATTATTTGTAGCACACTTCTTACTAGCTTACATATGTATACAACATTTATTTATTATACCACACAAGTTTATTCCATCTTTTAAAAAAAAAGAAATGAGAAAGTTGTATTTATTATTTTTGAACAAATTCCCGAGCATAGATTGACAACATTTTAGATTTGATAAGTACTTGAACAAAGAAAAGTTTTAGAAGATAATAACCTGGCAGTGGATTTGTATTCCCAGCACAAAATAGGTTAAACACATCTCTAATAAGTTTGACTGCTGCAGACCCTGAGACCAGTAGAAGTGCATCTGCACATTAGTGTGCGGGTGCGTTTGTTTGTGCATGGGGAAACATCCGCAGGAGACTGCCCTAGAGCTGTTACCATAGCAGCACATGGGTGGAAGATAGGGAGGAAGGAGGAAAGGAAAGAAGGAAGGAATCAAGAGAGGGAAGGAGGGAAAGACGAGGGACTGCTTGTGCGTGAAATGCTTGTGTCACTGGTCATGTTGGTTCATTATCTACATTCCTACCATCAAAAGGAAGTGATCCAACTGTGCCCATACACACAAAGATTCAGGCGTGCACATCCAGGTGGCCCGTAGCACCTCTGAATGACATTTGTGAGTCTGCGTGGATGAGTGAGTTTTACATGAGTCTGCTTGCTAAGGGGGAATGAGGGAGACTTGGAATTTTTAAAAGGGACTATAAGTGGGAAAGCTGTGTGAGGCTTAACATGCATACACACACGCAAACAAACACAGTCAATGTATTATTAGGCAGAGCATCAGTGGGCTGTCATGACAACTGATCAATGAAACTATTCCATTTGGCTGACCATCTTTCTCTCTCTTCTGCCAACACACAGTAAGTCCTGACTATGTGAGGCTGGTCATGCCCAGTAAACTACTGACAGCACCACAAAACATCCCACCAGGGCTGCTCGACTCCTGCTGGACATCGTCAGCAGTTAAGGCTAACTGACTGGATTTACCACACTTCCATTTTAGCTTACGAGAGGACAGACAAGCTAGAGAGACATTTCCCCTCATCCTTAGATGATCAGCGTAAAATGTGATGAAGAATCACTGCCAGAATCATTCACATGTCTCATGGTAGAACATCTAAAACGATCTGCGCCGCAGAAAGAACACAATGTAGCACGCTAACTGTGAACTATCATCTCAAAACAGCTAAAAGTTGACTAATCTCTGAAAATGAGTTTTATGAGAAAAACAAGTTCAATTTGCTGATGAAGAGCTCTGTATAGAATCTCTTCAACATGTCAGAACTTGCATTTTGCGGTTGTTGAAGTCATCATTTTCAGAAAAAGTAACACCTGCTAGCCTTCAAGAAACAACTGATGACTGTATTGTAGTTATATTGTATGTAGCTGCTGCAATGTAACAGTTGTAGCTACTTCTACCTTTCGCTTGCCTTAGTTTAGTTTTCAACTATACACAACCATAGTCGGAAATTATATGTATAAGATATGGGTGTGGATAGGTTAGCCCAAGATTACTGATATCCATGGCAAATGTAGATTTAAAGTTAAATTTCCCCAACAGCTGCGCGTGCCTCGTTTAAATACAGATGGGAACACAAAGTGATTTCTTCTCAAACATGAGCAACATATTTTTTACATTTCTAAAACAAACTGTACTGAAGTGTTTATATTGTTTCATAATCTGTCTTTCTAGGTATTGGCATCAGAAACTAATAATCGTGTTGCTGTAGCTGAAGCTCCAGAGTAAAGATTAAATTGGCTCTTTGAACAACAAGCTATGTAGTCACAAGAGGGTGGCACTGTGGTTTAAAGTAGTTCACTGTGAGACATTTTGAAAGAAATGTGTGCAGCAATTATTTCACTCACCCTGGAAAGTTTACATGTGAAAGCAAGAGCTACCTTTTATTTGTTAAGAGATAACAAGAAGAATACCTTTGTTTTGAATACTTTCATCAGGCAGACAAACTCTTCTGAGTCATTAACAGTGAGGAGGTTATTCGCTTTCTAGCATTTTTATTTAGAGAAGAAAAACTCACTCAGATTCTTCCCACTTCTGTTGATAACATAACTTTAAAAATGACTATATAAAGTTAGCAGACCTTCTTGACTGTTCAAAAATAAAACTTTTTACCATCCATTTCGGATCCAAATTAATTTACATTTAAATGGAGCATGCAACTCTTCTTAGAACCTAAAGAGTTTGCAAAGAATCAAAGACCCAGGAATCTTAACCAGTAAAGGCCTACATTTATTTACTTTGACTTTCGCCTATTAACACCCAATATTTACATTGAAAAAGTGTGGTGTGCATGTGTACAACCCTCTGAATCCATACTTTTTTGAAACACGTTATGATGCAATTAGAGCTAAACATGTCTTCGGGTGAGTTTCTTCTAGCTTCGGGCATCGAGGCACTGAATGTTTTCTTCTTCGTAAAACAGCTAAACCTCAGTCAGGGTATGTAGTTTGGTATGTTGTTCAATAACTCCTTACTTCAAAACTTCAAGATCTAGCCAGTGTGTTCCTTGATCTTCATGATGCCTTTTGTTAACTAATTATTTCTATCAAACCTCTGAGGGCCACGTAGAATAAATTACACACAGGTAAACTCTTTTTAACATTTAGTTTTGAGAATGATTGATTGCAATTTTATTTAAGGGCATTAGAGTAAAAGGAGATAAATAAAATTGCACATCACACTATTTAATGTTTTATTTTGTGACATTTAGCTTCACACGTTTTGACATCTATCACATTAGTTTTTGTTAAGTGCTCTGAAGTTTGCAGCCTTACGACGTGTAAAAGTTTCCATGGATGTCAGTTGTGGAGATGCTGGGCAGTAAGCCACAATACATTTAGGACTAGAATAAATTAGCATGTCTCTTGAGTCATGCTGCTACAGGTGAGGAATGTAACATCCTGTTATTACAATCTGTACTCCACAATACATATACATCATAAGTTCAGTCATTAGCATTTTCTTTGTTTTATGGCTGATGACTGGGTCTACCTTTCCTCTCATCTAAAACGCGTAACTAATTTAAGGCAGATGAACAACATTCCTGAGTCTTGTTCTTTTGCCGGTTTCTACTAAAATTATCTGCCTTTCTGTTGTTGATATTGACCAACATTGGAGACAGTATTAACTGTATCATCAACAACAAGCCGGTAAGCCTGGCTGGTTAAAATCATCCCTATTCTCGATTAAAAAAAAACTATTTCAAACCAATAAACAGGAAGAGCTGCCGTAACTCAAGGACTTAAAGCCCTTGAGCTCTAATTGTGGGTCTGGTAATAAAACCTAAGCTAGAAAGCTTGGAACAATGCCATTCAGAACTACAGCGAAGCAAAAATATAGGGAAAAATAAAAACACAGTCTTCCAGGTTTTCATTCCTAGTAATGGCATGTCAACTCACACAGAGATGCCAAAAACACTGATGCGAATGTGTGCACTCACCTATAAATCTGAACACCACGAAATGCTCATTCATACACACTAAAACTCTCACATATTCTCATAGAAGGGGACATGTTCATTGATCTAGAAGTGATTCTAAGCTAAAACAAGTACAAAGGACTGAAAAGCACAGCTATGCCCTGACAGGTGTGTAAATGCATGACGGTAATGCCCGTGTCCATACCTGTTTGGTCTGCATAGTTGTGTACCTATGTGCCTTCGCATTCACTGGATTTATGTGCATGCCTGACACAGGCAAAGGAAGTCTGTGTTTGCGTCTGAGCCTACATGAATTTGTGTGCGTCCCTCCAGGTGAGCGTTGTGTGAGTGTGTGTGTGTGTGTGTGTGTGTGTGTGTGTGTGTGTGTGCGTGTGTGTGTGCTAGAACCCGGCGCTCAGCATGTGTGTGTGCTCTCGGGCAATACCAGTTCAGGTCACTGACTCTTGTTATTTGATGTTGGAGCTTTGGCAGCAGTATTGTGTGTTTGTGTGCATTTCTAGTTAGATAGAACACAATTTTATAGTTCCTTTGAAGTTTTATATCATCAAGCATTTCCTTTTTGAAGCCAATCCATCTCCATTAGCTTACTCTTATATTCCAGGTGAAAGCCTGCTGCTACCACACTGATGTCACTCTGAAAGTGCAGGAGTAGCTGATTGGATGTTGAGTTCAGTAGAGCAGGAGCTGTTGTTCCTACACGACACATACACAGACACACACACACACACACAAAAAAAACATTACAATATTGTACACGGTAGGTCTGTCAGTGTTATTTAGCATGCTAGTATTGCTTTGAAGTCAAACTTACAATAATAAAAGCTTGTCTCAAAAATCATCTTAAAATCCAATTAGGGATTCTTAGTTTTCATAGAAATGCACAAGCTGTTTACGTTGTATCAAAATCCAGTCTAGAAGGCAGTGAAGGGTCACGAGCCTAAATACATTTCAGAGTTTGTTGCTGAAGTATGAACATCCCTCAGGTAAGGAGAGACCTATTCTTTTTGTGTTTCAAGGATGAGAACTCAACAAGGAATGACCAAAAAAGGCCAAAGATTATTAGAATGATTATTTTTATTCTATCATATTTTATTTTTTTTCATTTGCTTAAATTTTGCAATACTAGTATGCCTTTCTTTTATTCTTTTATTGTGTCATAATTGTATATTTTTATGTGATGCTTCTCTCTTTGTTTCTGTATTTCTTTCCTTTTGTTTTTCTGGTAAATAACTTGAATTACCCCATTTGTGAAGGTGCTGCACAAACAAACTTCCTGGCTTTTCTCAAAATAGACAGTTAACAGTCACCTCAGATTTAAAACATTGCCCTTTCGAAATAATTGTACAGTGTTTCTCATTCGACCATGTAAATTGGCCTTTTTAAATGTGTGACTCATGAGGCTGTAAGCATAAAGAAACTCGACACATTTTTAAACATCAAGGGAAATCTTATCTATAAATTAATGTGTGCTATTTTTGATGTGCTCCTTTTTTGCATAACTTGTGCATTTATTAAGAAAAAAGAAGAAAATTATAAATACTTTCAAAAGTGTAATTTGATGATCAAAGTGTAACACTCTGTTCACATTCTGAGAACCCTCAAGAGACAAATACAGAAAATATTGGGTGAATTTATCAAAGGGCAGGACAGGTATTTCAGATGAAGCAGCTCTGATCATTCAGTATCCCAAGATAAGGAAATCTTCATCGGTGTAGACAAAGTGCTTGCACAGCACAGCAGGAGAGTGTATAATATCCTCGGCTCATCACTGTGACATTTTCATTCATGGTGTCTCATTATGTGAGACAGACGTTACAAAAAAGACAAATCTGGCTGTTATACAAAAACATTTTAGCTGCAAAACTAAAGCCCCAACCAATGTTTTCAGGATAAAACTGCTTTACTACAAATGATAACATATAAACTCGGTTTATTCCAAACACTTGATTGTGGGGAATAAACTCATTTTTTCTATTTCTACTAATAGTGTGATAATATGACATTATACTATTCATGTGGCAAAAGTCAATGAAACTTGTGCACAGTCTGCAGTCTATGCTTAAATTTGAAACACACAAAAAAAAAAGCTGCAAAAGCTGCACAGAATTTCTCTGTCTGTGGCCAAAAAGCATTTTAAAGAGAAGCAGTTTTATCTGCCTGACTAAAGGTGCTCAATGGTCAGCATTAGATCACCATGGTTGTAGTGGCCAGCTCCCAGGTGTATCCTTTATAAAAGGGTACAGTTATATATTAAATTTGTGAGTGTGTGTGTGTTTGTGTTGCCCTATATGTGGCATGTCTTATGTGAGGTAGCTGTGAGACAGATATGTGCTTGGGGCAGGGAAGAAGGGAAACTCTACAGGGAAATTGTGAAAGGTTATACTTTATTAGTGACTCTCTTCTTAGTGTCACTCCTTCTCTATCCTTTTTCTCCATTTATGACAATTATTGTTCACTATTTGAGGTTAGAACTACACCAAACATTTAAACATATTTTTACAATGCTAAACAATTATTGTGCATCTCTTTGGTTAAGGAATAATCCTGTGCCATACAGCCTATATATGTATAATTTGTTTTGTATGTCATCTGCAGTTTTATGTTTCTGACCTGTCTGACCGGTCAAGCTGTCATACCTGAAAAGGATCCCAGTTTTGGAGCTGTCATGTCCCCTCCATCATAGATCTCCAGAGAGTCCCAGTTGTGTTCTGTCGCAAACGTTATAACTTGGATCTAACAAGTAAACGACAATAATCACTGAACAAAACGGCTTGCAAGACTACAACAATCCTGTACAACTGGTGCATTAAAGAGCGACAGTCTAACTGCATACATATGTGTGTACCTGTATTCCTGCTCCTTCACTGACATGGATCCTCCACAGACAGTTTAGAGCATTAGGGTACGGCTCAGGATAGCCAGGAGACAATATTGTACCTCGACGTTCAGTCAAATTGCCACTGCAGGGAACTAAAACGGAGGCATAAAATATACATGTTTGGCATAATTTATACACCAAGTAGCTTTTAATTAGGACAGGATGATGGAATATAGCCTAAAATAATAATAATAATAATAAAAAAACAGACGGATGTTTTGAACAGAGCAAGAATACATAAAATTATTTACGTGTTTGCAAAATGCCAGCTCTCAACAGTGAAAGGTTTCACATCGGCATAGATAAAGTTTGCTAGAATTGCAGTGAAAATAAAAACAGTTACTTTTATTGTCTATTGCAATATGATTAACCAAGGCAAAAATAAAGGGAACATTTCACTTTCATTTTGTGTGTGGCTCCAAATCCAGGCCTCCATTGGTTAATAAATTTGATTTCCATTGATGATTTTTGTGTGATTTTGTTGTCAGCACATTCAACTTTGTACAGAACAAAGTATTCAATGAGAATATTTCATTCATTCAGATCTAGGATGTGTTATTTGAGTGTTCCCTTTATTTTTTTGAGCAGTGTATATCTGAGTTTGTCCAAATATTGCTTAGTTTAGTTATGTTCTGTCAGAACATAACTAAAGTTATGTAAAATTCAAAATATTTTAGAACAGAGAGGAAAGTCAAAAAAATTTCTAAGCATAAATTAAATTTGTCTAACAAATTAGCCAACAAATCTTTGAAAAAGGTGTCTGAAATATTTGATTTGCATTTGTTGAAAGCCATATTACTTTTTTGTCTTAGTAGTTTGTTGGTCAAAATTCTCTGATCCCTACAAACTGATGGTCTTTTGTGTAACTTCTGACTTATTTAATCAAAATCCAGTGGCAAGCTTTATTTTGGAGGTGTGTGGATTTGCCAGTTGCAGTCTTAATATTACGCAGGTCTGATCTCCTCACCTATACATGTAGGTGTCGATGAGTTCCACTGTGCGAGGGCACCTGGCACAGCCTGGCATCGGATTGCGCTGGATCCTTTCAAAAGATACCCAGGACTGCACTCGAAACGGACAACGGAGCCGGCTGAGAACTCCGAGCCGATTCGCCTGCCGTACCGAGGCTCTGGCACTGAGCTGCACTGACTGTCACTTGTGCGAGGCACAGCTACAGTGAAGAAATAAGTGCAATTGTATTGAAAGAGAATAATTAAAGCAACAATTAAATTCATTAGTAAAAAGGTTTTCAGACTCGTGATTTTATTTAATATTCTATAAAAGAAACTGAACTTTGGACTTTTAAAAGCTGTAAGCCATGAACCCACAAATTTACGGAGGGTAAAAACTGACATATACATAAAAAATAAAAAAAACTGACGTGTTTTGACATTTTTAAAATAGTTAGTAAAACATGTATTTTCTCAATTATATTTATTTTAGTGAGATGCATCAGTATTTAAGTGAGGAAAACATATTTCAACTAAGAAATAAACAGTAACGAGTTACCTTGGTAGACAAAATGAAAGCCTTTAGCTGACTGGCCGCTCTTGGCATTGAACCGAAGCATGATCTGATTGGATGTTGCCAGCGGCAATGTCTCTCCTGAAATAATTACACACGCACAAACATGATATTCAAGTTAAAGTTAAAAACTGAAACCAGCATCAATGTGTCTTTTAAACATTAGTTTTAAGAGAAATGTTACACGTAAAAAAATGTAATAAATCAAGTAATACAACGGTTTCATATAAACATCCATGCACACAGAACAACAGTGGTTCACTGTTTAACACTAAGTACTTACCCAACTGTCTAACACTTAACTACACTGGTTTCTTCTGATTATTTTTCAGCAAATATCACTTTATATTTCCCTTTTATGGTTGAATATGAACACTGCACATCATTTAACAGACACACACAGATTTAAAGGGAAAAAAACCCACAAAGACAGACAGAGGAAGTAACAGTAATAAATGAGGCAAATATGGCCTGGTGTGGCTGACATTTAGAATCATCATTAGCACTGTCATGATGTGTGCATGTGCGCGTGTGTGTGTGAGAGCGCTTTATAGACATGCTTGTGTGTTAATTTGTTTCCGTGCCAAGATAATCAACCAGTTAGATGGAACAATGCAACACAAAGCTGTTTGCCCCTCTATATGTGTGTGTGTGTGTGTGTGTGTGTGTGTGTGTGTGTAGGTGTATGTAAGAATGATATAGATGACATTATTTTCTATAGCCTGCTGTGTTTGATTGTTTTCCATTCTAAAAACAGAAAACACAAACCACAATGAACTCGGGAATAAGTCACACATCTGAATGCTATTCAAGCTGGCTCTTGTCCTATTTAAACAAAATGTACCTGGAAACATAATGATTTAAATTGCAGCACCATTTCTGAAAGAAAAAACCATGGCATCTACAAGAAAATAAAAAAGGTGTTCATAATTCCACAAGCATGTAGATAAATGTTTTCTAAAGATTATTTGCAATTTATTATTGTTTGCTTCTATGATCAAACTATTTGGCGCCTAAGCAGTTTAAGGAAGGTTTCTGAGCTGGAGTCCAATTTTTTGATGAACACAAAATTGACGTATACACGATCTCCAGAGAGGGAAATCTAATGTCACATTCATGGATATTTCCCTGCAGTGTGCCTGCTAGCAATGACACAGAAACTTATATATGAAGTAAAACTCAAAAGCAATGGCATCACAGTTCGCCATGAGCAATGTTAATCAATATTTCCTCATATTACATTCCTCAAATTTTGTGATATGCATCGATTTTGCAACAGCTGTCAGATTTAATCAATGCACGGTGTGTTACTGTGCAATGATTCAAAGCTCTGCCAAGCTTGGATGACTCAAAGTTGGAGGGTATGCAAACCCAGGGAGGGTTCAGCTCCTGTACTGCAGATCGTGCCGTACCACTGAGACTCTCTGCGCTGCTGATTTCTTCTTGTGAAGACATCCCATAATAAAATTTCACCAAATACATCACTGTCGAATAAATTGCAATAACGACTGGCGTGACCCCGTTCTGCAGCCAAGGAGGCTATTTTTTTCCCCTACACACATTTTCATTAATAACCCTTTTGAAATTTTCTTTAATGTTTTATCCTTTTAATCTTATTGTACATGCGTACAATGGCAATAAACTCAATTCAATTCAATAAAGGTAAGGAGGATTAAAGAAAAAAATAATGCCTTTACGACTATAAAGAGCATGCTAGCAGCTTAACAGTAAGGTTGACAATACTCTGTAAACACACTGAAGTCTCTCACCTGCGTGAGTCAACATATTCTAGTCAACTAGTCAACATATTCACCTGAATGGGATCCAGCCAGGGAGCTGAGCAGTCGAGCATTATCATTGGCTCCATCAAAAAGCTCCACTGAGTCATTCATTGCCGTCTGGAAAACAGCAAACTGACCAAATACCACTGCAAATGTCAGAGAAGAAAATACAGAGAGGAAAAAAACACCTTATTATTACCTTTATTAGTATAAGTTTGAAAGCAACCGTGTTCAGTGTCGATAATGAATCTCTTACCAAACTGTGGGGACACAGTGATGTGATAGGAACACATCTGTCTCATGGTGTAGTTTAAAGGATAGTTTGGGGATAAAACAACACCTTCAGATCCGCTGTAGTGTCCTCCACACGGAGCTGTCCACACAAGGAGAAATAATTTAAGCTGTTAGCAAAATTAACTAAATTTAGAACACTCTAGAGGAACCAATTTGCTTCTATCTTTAAATACATTATCAACAAGTATGACTCTCCTCTTTATGGACATTTTTAGAACGGAGAAGTTGGAAATGATACAATGATTCCAGGTCTCTGAAAGGGACAGTTGAGACAGCCAATTTACCAGTGGTATGCATAATAACAGTGTTATAGACATCAATTCTTCTGCAGTTTATTATATTAGCGTCAGAGCTACCCGATTTCAAAATAAATTTGGGTAGCTCTGATGCTATAATTATTAATAATTAATAATCAGTGGAAATAAAAACACACACTAACATTCCAGCATATAATGAAATGATAGAAAACACACTAAAAACAAAGATACACATTGAATGTGTTGTTCTAGTGAAATCTGAGAACAGTAGTTTTATCCTTTTGTGTAACAGATAATCATGGGGCTATGATATTGCGCATAAAATTTGATCTTGCAGGCCAAGCAGCATTCAACCCGCGAGCTCTGAGCTTTAGATGGCTGTTTTACAAGAATTTGGTTTGTTAAGTTTGATCACTCCATATATCAAAGCATGGATTCGCTTCCACTCACCTGTATGTATAATTGGAATTGCTGCTACAACACTCAATTTGTCATATGATTTATGTGGCAGAGAGAGGACCATAAGATTTATTTCCAAATTTATTAGCTCAATTCTGTATGTCATTTTTGTATTAGTTTCATCTCCCCACTGGCAGGTTTAATCAGATAGCAAAAAGCAAAAGAGAAACACCTCCACCTTGTTTCAGTACTAACACAGTGTTAAACTTTTAACATTCAAACCGCCACGTTAGCTCAAAATGTCTTTTTTCTTGGAAACTTCTCATTATAAACATATGCAGTTATGTGAATTGCAGTGTTTCCAAGAAACAGGGCGCTTGGCTCACAGTGATAAATACAAAGATAATGAAGAGTTAAAAAATAAGTAAATAAGTTACTACTGTCTAAAAACCTCTTTCATCCACTTACAATTGGACAACTGGTCTAGTTATCTCCTTGTAGTTATCAGTGGACATCCTTGTTCTTGTCTCTTTTGCATAAAGCTAACTATACTTGGCTCAAAGGTTGATTAGTGAACAAAAAAAAAAGTTTGTCTTTGGTTATGTAACATAAAATAACATTCAATGTATTGCTATTTGATTTACATTTGTAGTTGGATACAAGGACACAGTCATGAACATTAATATTATTATTATTTTGCATCTTGCAACTCCTTATGTTGATGCTGTGACTTTTAGAAGTAGATTGCAGAGGATTCTGAAATAAAGACATCCTACTAATAGAAATACCACAGCAGCTGACACCAGAAGCATAATTATCTCCACATTATATTAAAAACTTGATTTTGAATTTTGAAAAGCACATTTGCTGCATGTATTTTTTTTTTTTCAAACCCTCTCTAGATGGCTAATTTTTCTGAATAAAAAAAAAATAAAAAAAAACAGCGGCACAAACACTAAGTGACTAAACTTTTGCAACCGGCGCTCGAAAACAGTATGTGATCTGCAGCACAGCAGTGTTGTTTCAAAAAGCCTATTAACGCATTCAGCAACAGCAAGACCTGTGAGAAACAGGCCTGACTCTGGCTCAATTCATCTTTTGCATCCCCGAGAGAGCAAGAACTCTTGTCCATGAACAGTATGTGGGTGTGTGCACACTTATGCTCTTAATAAGGCAGAGGTCACTGACCTTTATGTAAGTGTCTCTGAAAGTGAGTGCACAAAACAGCTGCAAGAAGCCCATCGGTCAATGTCATCTCCCCCAACACACACAACACATTCTCTCCGCACATTTTCATTCCCCTCCTCTTCACCCTCTCTGGCCCTGTACTCATCTCGTCTTGTTGCGGTTGCTACGGCGTGAACCTCTGAGGGTCAGATCTATTATCCACCAACGTCATTAGCTGTGACCCTTAACAGATTTTAATTATCATCGCCTCTGTGCTTGTTGAAAATGAGAGAGCGTACGAGTTCAAAGTTTGATCCTGCTCTAAGACACACGGAACAACACTTTGTGAATTAATCTGCTGCCAAAGTCAGGGGGCTCTAGTGCTGAGATGCGAGGATGTGATCTTTTTGTACAGGATCATAAAGCTTAAATGCTACCAGTTATTAGCTGGAAACATCCCCTTAAACACACCCTTGAGGGTTACTCTTTCAAGTAAATACGTCAGCATTTTGGTCTTGTGAAAACTGAGCATGAAAGGCTCAAAAAGTACACCAGAGAGCCCTCAAGCACTTTCAGTTTTCACAGTAGGGCATTTGTGAGCCCCCGAGGACTTTTCTGTAAGATGTGCCAAAGTCTATGAGACCAGAAGCATACACATTACGACTCGGTCCATTATGTTAGCCAAGATTTGCTCAGGGAAATTGTTCCAAATAGTGAAGTAAAATTTCTTTCAAAACTTCGTTTCCACTTGTCTTGTATAACGTTGTTTCATACCCACCCACTCATCTTACTTCACTCCACTTCTGCTTCTTTCTATTTTCTTCTTGTTTCCTAAAGCTCTATAGTAACAACCCCCTTATTTCCCCCTGACCTTAGGCTGTGATATTGATTGATATTTTGGATTGACTTTTACTGTTCTCTCGTTTTCAAACCCTCGGGTCTAGAGGTCTTGTCTTCATCTACCCACAATCCTCCGGTGGTGCTGCTCTAGGCTCGGGTGTCAGCCTCATTAGAAGCCTCCATGCACAGGCTTTGATCACTCACACCCTCTCCCTCAAACACACACAAATAAATGCAAGAAAAAAAAAAAAAAGCCATACAAGTCAGTCTCCTTCTATCACACAGCCGCATACTTTGATCATCTACACACATACGTGAGACTTCAGCAGTCCTACCTCTCACTACCAATATATCGCATCTTGCTTTTATTTTCTACTGCCCAAATACACACGTGAAAGTATTAACAGATGACTAACAGGTCAGGAAAAAATAAAATTCCAGTATTGTAAACAGTATATTCACGGCATTTATAACAACATTATCTTTTCCTGGAGAATATCAAACTTAAATTTGTGAATAAGCTGTGAGTGGAACTTCTGCACATCATAACCAGTTAGTATAACTTTAATATTACATGTGTAATGATATATTGGCATACAGTCATGGGGGAAAAACTAACATAACCCATGATATAGTAGTTTGTAGAGTCGACCTTAGCAGCAGTAAGTGAATGATTTAATCTTCACTATTGATATATTATGACCCAATGTTGTTGCAGCTCATTGACATTTGTGGCCGTTAAATGCAACACACTCAAGGTCCCATCACAGCACTGGATCGACAGTGAAGTATCTGCAGACTTGCTATGTTCATGGAAATGTTCTCTTTTTAAATGATGATTTCAGACCAAAAGCCAGACATAAATGTTTAGATTGTTTTTTGTTGTTGTTTTATGCAAAGAAGTCTATGGTAAATATGACGCCTTCAAGGTTTTTGGGTAGATCTGCTATTTGGTTTTATCCAAAAACAGCACTGATGTTAAAACTAGGTGGCAGACAGATGAACTCTTAATTCAAACTAATAAGGGGGAAATAAGTCTTAATTTAATGTGATTATAGTTTAATAGACGCTGAGCAATATAAGATAATGCAATAACTTTATATCAATAGCAAGAGCCTCTCTCTCATGTTACACTTTGGATAGCGCTCATAGAAGAGAGAATTTAATGGTTCCTGAATCCAGAAAATTTTATTACAACTTAAATGAATTATCACAGTTCAGTTCTTATAGATAATTCAAATTAAAAATGCAAACTGGCAGGAAACAGGCTTTCAGTGGCCAACTTTTAATCACAAACACACACTTGGTTCTATCTCACTAAATAAACTATGTACATTTTTACGCATAAACATAGTAAGCTTACCAAATCCACTGCTTGCGTTGGTCACCAGAGAACACTGAAATATGATTTTTGTTTTGGGATTTGTTTTCTTGATTTAAAACTTGCATTATTTCCACCTTTGCCTGTTGATCTTGGAACATTACCATTGTCTTTTTATCAGATGAATAATGTAACATCATTGTTGCAAAACACTGTTGTTACAAAGCAACAACATCTTACTTGGATTCACACTGGATGGAAGTCATTTTAATAAATCTTTCAGACCACCTAAAATATGGAAAAAAAATATTTCAACTAATTTGTGTCATAGATATAATTACAATGAGGTAAAAAAAATAAATAAGTGGTGTTCCTAACAAATGTACCCAACTGCCTTTTGGTCTCATAAAACGCCTGTTCAAACCAAACATTTACAGCATATTCAAGTATTTATTAAATGCAAGTGAATAACATTTGTATGGCATGTTAAAATAAGTAATCTAGGTTGAACCGTTTTTTTTATGTCTATTCAGATAACTTGATCTTTATCAGCTTTTAAGCACAGAAATAATATACCCAGACCAATAACAGTTTCAGAAAAAAAGGATTTACTCATTTTAATAGATATACACTGGAATAAGAAGATTTTAGTCATTTCAATTGCAGTGTCAGAGCAGGATCACATCTAAAATCTGCAGGACTCTGGCTCTTGAGGGCTGACGTAGGACACTCCTGATCTGTAAAGACACGTTTGTGGTTTAAAAATTTAAAGTGCCCAACATTTTTTGAGTTTCGTCTTAGGTTAACTAACTTTACACTGACTTTATTGATCATCTGGTGATCATAGTAATATGTATTTCTATCAGTAATGGTTAGCTATCGAGCTTATTGGTGTGCCGTTAATAAGTTGTGACCGACTGAAATTTTGACTGGCTGTATGGAGCTTAGACTTGCGCTTCCGATCCCCAAACTGTTGCTGCAAGCTGTCAGTGAGCGGTGTATGAAGGGTGACAAACAGGATTATCCCAAAAACATGTTTTCCTGATAAGCACAAACTTACTCATTTGTGTCCAAACAGATGAAGTTGTCATGAACCTAGAAATTACTTCTTCCAACCATAAAAACTTGAATTACTAAGGACAAGAAACACTGATTTATGCATTATGAGAAACTATCCATCTGATCATACGTTTTGACAAAAGCATAAATAACTGTTAAATGATTCAGGCTTTAGTTTTTCAAGCAGATGAGTGGTGTACCCTGATTTGTGCTTAACGTGTGCGTGTGTTGGTGAAAGTGTGTGTTTGTGTATGTGCTTATTGCCTCTAGGCGGCACTCTATAATAGTTTCTTACTTTATCTCTTTCTCTGTATCTCTCCTCCTTTCTTGCATGGACCCACACACACATATCAATGCACGCAAACACACACATACACACACACACACACCCCTATCAACAGTCACAGAGAATTCCTTCTTTCTCGCACCAGCTCTTAGTTACCATGGAAACCAATAAAAGAGCGGTTTGAATTGGGAGGTGTTTACATGTGTGTCCGCGCAAGTGTGTGTGTGTGTGTGTGTGTGTGTGTGTGTGTGTGTGTGAGAGTCAAAGCAAGAAAGGGTGAGGAAGCTTGAGAGAAAAGGTGAAAGGAAAATACAGAGTAAATCAGAGACAGACATAGATGGTGGGAGGAAAGTAAAATAAGAGCCAGCAGTTGTTAAGGGGAAGGACAGAGGAAGAGGGAAGAAGTACGCGTTGAGAAGAGGATTAAAAGGAGGAAGAACGAATGTGGAGGGAGTGTAAGTGGAGATGTATTATTTAAAGAGGTCTCACCCCGTCTAATGAGTTTGGTCTAAAAGCCCCGAGAGCTGCCCAAAGATAGAGAGACAGGCAGAGGCTAAGAAACTTCCCTAACTATGCGCAGAGAAAATCCAATGTGGAAATGGAGTCACGGGAGTTGGGGAGCAAAATTACTGAGTATGACAAGACTTTGTTACATTCTTCTGCTTTGACTTTGTGAAGTAGCTTACAGACTTCCTCTCAACCGAAGCAACTATTTTACAATCTATTTATCCATGTGGATGTGCAAGCCACAGAATTACTAAAACTGAAATTAACATGGGTACAAGAAATAGGAAAAAAATGTTTAAGCTCTTTTTCAATGCTGAAATCCTTAAAATTGTGAAATACAGTTAAACTGGTATATTAAATAAGCTTACTTGCTGCTATTTTCCTGAATAGGACTTTTTAATAGTACTGGTTTAGACAGTCCTTTGGCTACAATGCAGCTTACCACAATTAACATATCAATGTGTGTTTGAATGGGTGAACGACCATTCATAATGAACTGTGCATCCTTTAAACATCATATAGCTACATTTTTTTTTGCTTTTTCCCCTTTTCTTATTGAAATACCTGTTCCAGTCAGATTATAAGCTAAAGAGATTGGAAAATTAAAAAGACCAGGATCTCTCTGACAGCTTAGAGCACTGGGATTACCCTTTGACGACAAGAGTTTGACATTGTTCACAAAACCAAGCACACCAGCTCCTTCTCTCCACACAATGAAGAAAGAAAATGGGTGATCCAACTTTAAAAAAAAAATCGAATTAAGTTTATCCAAGTAAATATATCAAGTGTATTAAGTTGTTATGTTACAACAACATAAAGCAAATTTGACAAACTTAATTTGATTATATGTAACAGATTAACTTTTTTTTTTTTTAAGTTGGAGCTCCATTCTCTCTTTTCAGTGCAAAAGGCCATCGTTCTTAAAACCTACATGAATAATTAAAAAGCTTGTTTTGACTGGATATCTCAATTTAACAGCTTGTTAAATATTTTCCCGTTAAAACTTTGGCAACAAGTTTCTGACTAATTGCCGTCTCATAAGTAAGTAAACATTTCATTTCAAGTGAAGTCACAAAAAGATTAAAAGAGTAATGTGATGGACCTAGACTAAATATAAAGAAATTTGATATTTTATCCAAGAAAATCAGAGCCTATTTTTATGTTGATCTGTTTTGAGATCTGCTTATATGCAAATTTGTTTGCCATATTGTCAGAATCACAAACTCACCATCTGATACATATAGCACAAGCAAGCCTGATCTACAATCAACACACAAACAAGATTGCACCAGCAATTTAGCACTCCTTATTTGGAATATTTGTAGATCAGTGCTTTGTTTATTTTATCATGAATGAATGACAAAATAAACAAACAAACAGCAACAACTAACAGAGCAGATGAAATGAAATGCCTGATGGGATCGTTTTTTTCTTGCAGTGTTACCCACTGCTGTTCCAAAATTGCATTTCAGAGTGCAATTACACCATCTTTATTCTCTCCTTCTCCCACTTCCAACACCCTTTACTAGTCAGACATTATTAAACAGAGCCTTCATAGAAGAGCTATGAAATGATTATGAGCTATAAATAAGAAGCAGTACGTGTTAATCTTAAAATGTCTTCTACCTTGCTTTGTTGAAATTTATATCTAGGAGGTATTTTGGGACGTCTCTGCATTTCAATTTCCTCACACACACGCATAAAGGCAAATACACAGCTTCAATGGGACTTTGGCAGGTGTCACTTTATTGCCTCCTTGAGCTGCCAATCAAATAAGACAGCTTAGCCTCCAAGACCTGACCAACTCTGATAACACATACTCACACACAGACAGGATGGCAATCCTGAACCAATAAGTCTCAGATTGATTTCAACAAGTTTCAACAATCAGTCATTGTAAATTGGCATGACACTGCTATCTAAAGTGAGTTCCCTGTAAACCAATGTAAGTATTGAGAATGACATGTAATTTACCACTGCTGAAAAATTGAAAATGTAGATGTAGGTGGGAAAGTAGCGTAACGAGGTTCCGACTGCTAACTGAACTGAGATCATCTACTCCAAATGTAAAAATTCACAGATAAGTGTTGGACATCAAGGTCGCATAAAATTAGTTGCGTCATCAAATGCAGATTAAATGGGACTTGAATGTAAAGTGCAGCAAATCCAAAGGACATGGCACCAATGGGTGCATGTGACGGGTGCATCCAAGGATTAACCATATTACTTCAGCATCAATCAGGGTAAAATTGTTTGACAAGATATGATTTTTCCTGTTCCTCTGAGATCTTTATTCTCTCTAGTAAAGTAAAGCTAATTTAATCTAATGCAATCAGTTGCTGTCTCTTTTGTCACACAGCTGCTCTGTCCTTACATCCGTCCAGTATTCTATGTATTTTACTTACTACAAGTCAAAAGATGTCCAAAGTATATTTAGTCATGATTAACTGAGATTTATCTAAGCACTTTATTCAGTCAAAGTTGCTGTATCATCCATTTTCTTCCGGGATTTAGTTTTCCAGCCAATATTATCATCACAGAACTATAATGTAAAACCTTCTAAAACCGAGATGCATCTTTTCCATTACATTAGATCCGTCCTTTGAGAGTTATTTAAGAAACAATCAAACAACAAAACACTCTCACTTGCATTAGTTCAGGTTAAACACCAATTAAAACAAACTGATTACTGGAGTGACTTTCTACTGTGAGACTATTATCAGTTAAATCCAGTAACCTTTGATTAAAAATAAAAGCATCAATTTGTGTCTATCTTACCTTTACATGATGGCAAGGCCTTGTCCCACACTGGTTTCCCATCATGCCCCATGACACACATAATGGTTTCACTACCCACTATTGTGTAGCCATGGTGACAGCTGTAGGAGACCTGGGATCCTAGTTTGTAGTCATAGCCGGTCCGACTGGCATTCATGATGTTACCAGGGTCAAAACAGGCCTCTCTTGGTTTCTCTGTGGATGTGGAAGAATTAGGTGAGTTGGTGGACAAAGGTGCAAAATATTAAACGTGATATTTTGACAATAAGTGATAAAGTAGCTTAAATGTTTTAATTTGGCAACCAAATTTAATAACTTGTGTCAATAAATATTTGTTAATTGTGTTCTGGTAAGTTCTCATTGAATTCCCTAACTTTGTTAGTCATACATATATTGCTCCATGTTTGATAAGTAAGACATAATCAGGATAAAAATATGAATCAAACAAAAGTTGCAAAGTAAACAGAACAAAAATAAAAGAGCCATTGTGTCTGTATTCGTCGGTCTTTGAACCATTTCTCTGCAGTCACTGCACAAAATAGTGACAGAATGAAATAATCAGACAGAGAGAAGTTTCAGGGCAAAAAGAGCTGAAAGTTGCAGATCATTAAGACTGTTTTGTTTTTTTTATTAGAGGGATGGCATATGAGAGCTAGTGAATAATGACAAAATCAAAAGCTAGAAAAAAAATGTTGGAGACAACAGAACCTTTCCACCAGATAACTGGAGTGAGGGAAACGAGAAGAAGCAAAGACAGGATTAGAGAAAAAGAATAAGTCTAGTCACGAGTAAGTCGAATGTTAGAGACTGACAAAAGGTATTAAATCATTAGTCACAATCAGTGGAGGTAAACAACTCTTAGGCAGACGTGGAACAACCTGCCCTTTCAGCCGAATACAGCTTCTCTCGTTACTGGGCTTAAAATAATAAGAGCAGAGAGATTAAAATATTATCAGGTCTGCAAGACAGCGCAACCCGCATTCGTGTATTGATATTTTAATCGCAACACTTAACAAGTAGACAATTTAGTGACAATTACTGTCAGTGGTATTGTGTGCAGAAACATGCAGAGATTCGTGTAGTACATTTTATTTTCTGGACACGCAACACAGCATTGATTTGCCCTAACCAATAAACCCACCTGATAATCTCAATCAATAGGGCTGGATGAACTCACCAATTGTGGTTTTCAGTTTAATTAGAATCACTGCTATGTTCAGACATGTTGTTTGTGATTACTGGTGCTGCCTTATCACTATCGGTACTATCTTTATTGAATACAATTAGAAAGTTTACTTCTGCTACAACTAACTACCTCTATTTCTCTTTCGTATTGCGACTGCCCAGAATCTATTTAAGTTACCACGCTGCTGTTCGGACCGACTGTGCACTGTGAAATCACAACTACAGCTACACATTTCACAATACAGACGCTGCATCTTCTCAACTACTGCAGCTCTCTTTCTATGCTACAATTACCTCTATATTCAATAGCAAATCCAGACATTCCTAGTGATGCATCTGATCTGAATGCCAGGAAAAGACTGTTCCCGCTGCTTTCTATGCGCTCAGGGGCCTGGTTGCCTTGAAGACTTGCAAGGAGAGGTCCGTTTGAGTCTTCGCCTTCATAAATGTGCAGGAAGTCGTAACTTGGCTCCATGTTGAAACTAAGGAGGAAAAAAAACAAAAAAACAGAAAATAACATTTAACTCAGCAACCTGGTTTTGGCTAAACTTTATTTTTCAGATCCATAATATCTTTCTGCAGTTTAGAGCATTCGAGGACCTTGTTTCCAATTTTCCAAACATTAACTGTGACAAGCCAAGTATTTGGGACTTTAGTTAAATCACTGGTTGCACTAAATAAACACATTATTTCAATGAATAAGACAAACATTTCATAAAACTTTTGCATCTTTTAGACATTTTGTTTTTGTCCTTTTTTTTGCCCCAATCACCAATCTAAACATGGCTGTCGCCTTCATTAGACATATTGCATACTAAATGACACGTTTCACCACCTCGCCATATATTTGTTCTGGTACACACATCAGAGGCATTAATAACAGGTATGCTTTATGTCCTAACAGGCAGACATTTAGGTTGAAATTTTACAGAGGGCCAATGTTGTTTGAAATTCTGAATTAAATTTTTTAACAGTAAAAAAAAAAAAAAAAAACTAATTAAAACGTTTAATTGAAATATATATTGGTGCACAGCCACTTGCAAGTTGCATGCAAGTTTTATCACCGTCTCTAATTCTGAATTAAAAATCATGCGTTTTGGTGTAAGTTTACTCTGTAGGAAACAGTAACCTCTGCTGGTGTGGATTTTGAGTCTGATCATGTTGCTGACCTTGTTTACATAAACACTAGGCTCTGTATGAAAGGATAAACATGAAAAAGATTTGACATTGATCAACAATGACAAGCCGATGCTGCAAAATGCACAACACAGTCTGTAAAAGGTAAATGTAACAATTTGGCAACATGTACTTTGGCTTTCACATCTCAAAATGTGTGTGCAAGTGTTTGAGCCACACTCAAATATGTGCTCAGACTGTTAAATCTAAACAACTCCAAACGTGTTTGTCTTTAAAGTTTCAGTGGATCTCACATGGACAGCATCTTTTTATCTTTGTACATGCATGAAGCTATCTTGTCCATGAGACTAAAATGACAAGAGTCCACATTTTGACACACGCAAAGACACATATTGTTACATCCACTTTTTCTGTGGTTGTTAAAAGGCCAAATTATTTCTCTTTCCATGCAAGTACATCTTGCATAGATAACGGAAAAGGTACTGGTCGAATTTAAAATTTGGAGCTGCAAATTCATAAAGAGCCATGGAATTTGTGGAACAAAGAAATGTCTTTTGTATAATATGTGACAAAATAATAGCCCTCTAACGAGCAATGTGTGCTTTTGTTAAAAATCAAATTTCAAATAATCTACTTGTAGATGAAGTTGAATAATAGAAAAAGCAACAAAGGCAACATTTACGATATGGTTGACAACAGGAAGAACTGTGGGAAACATAAAAGATGCTGTTTTTGGGCAAAACAAAATATACTGAAGAACTGTTGAACAACTGTTGAATTTGTATTGATGTTTTCATTTGGAATATATTAAATAGTGTTTTTGAAGCAATTGCATGCATAAAAATATAAGCTATTGCAAAAAATTGGGGCTTTATTTGCTGTTTTATACATGCCATTTTTAATCAACTTAGAACACACACACACACACAGACACACACAGGCACATGCACAAAAACATTGGACAACACAACGTACGCAGATGTTACCAAAGTTAAAGAAAAAGCACGCAATATTCCATTTTAAGACCTGTGTTTATATCGGGTGCTAAATGGGCTTAACTGCACCTAAGCCTCCTTTCCACAGGAAAAAAGCATTAACCGATCCATGCTAATACCTTGTGCATTAGTGATGCATTCGGTGTTGAATACCATAGCCGCTAAATGTCATGAAAGGAACATGGAAATCTCACTGGGAAGAAATGGGGCAGCGCAATAATCTCCCATGACACAAGAATAAAACAACAGTCAATTAAAACTTGAAACCTAGTTGTGAATTACAGGCTGCTAATCAAAGTGTAGAAATTTAAATTAAATTTCTATATAATTAATTACATGCTCTGGAGAAGTAGTAAGTAGATAGGCACAAAAATGGTAATTATATCTATTACAAGTGTTCACTTGAAGTGTGTACTTCTAAAGCACATCTGTTTAATTTTTTTTGCTTTGCATGAAAAAAACAGGGTCACATGTGGACAATCAAATGAATTGAATGATCTTGGTTTATTATAGGAGTGAGAATAAACTTGATTTATAAAAAGGGAACATGGTAAAAAAAAAAAAAAAAAAAAACAGACCCAGTAGAAGAAACAAGGTTAAAATGTCTTTTCTGTTAAGTGTGTGAAATACATTTAAAAAGAGAAGATAAAATAATAACAAAGAAGTGTTATGCAACACATAAAGCACAGCCAAAGCAAAATGTAAAATAAAAGTGTCTCAATGTCACATCAGCAGGGATTTATCTTTCAAGCTGCAAAACATGAAGTCAAAATTGGGTCATTTTTCTCCTTTGGCAATCTGCAGAAAGTCGTCTTTGGTTTTATCTGCTTTGCTTCATTTGAAGATCCAAGTCTCACTTTGATGAACTACTGACTGGGACTTAAAACATTCACCAATGTGCAGTAATTAGCAATAAAAATGTAAATAAACAATACTCTATTAAAAATAAAACAACCATGGAGATGGGTTAGGAAATTTAGTTTTAGTAACACATTATTTGTTTACCACAGCAAAACAAAAAAAATATCACCCGTTATCTTACTTCTAGATTATATTATGGAGCTCAGTTAGGAGAGAAGCAGTGTTATGGTGACTTCTGTCCTGTCTTCCCACCTTTTCCCCCCCAAACAAACAAAAAGTATGTTTTACCCAAAAACCAGGTTGAAACATTTTTGCTATGTTTTCCACAAGCTGGCAAATATTCTTTTTTTTTTTTTTCTTTTTTTTTTTAGTTTACCTGAATTGGTGACTGTTACTTTTCGGTTTTATCATTCTCTGAGATTGAGCTTGCTTTGTGGATCTTATGGCCAGTATGACTAAAAAGTTGTTTTGACACTACCATGGTAACTTATGTGAGGAGAGGATTTCAAAGGAGCTTTTAAGGCACATGTAATGCCTTTAAGCAGCGGTCCCTGAGGAGTGAAGAAAACTTCTCAAAGACTAGGTTATTAGTTACCTTAATGATCTTACGCTGCATGTTATTTAACATAAACTGTGCTTGATCTCTCAGGAGACAGGTCTTTCTAGATTCGGTGAGGGTCCATATTAAGCCAGGATATCTACAAGAATTTGATTAAAAACACTGCTGAACAATATTATTGCTGAATGGAAGTGTTTTTGTTAGGACAAAATACATTTTAAAAACCCTAAATGTTTTACCTCTATTTTATACTAATTTGGATTTAAAGACTGGCCTGACTGGTGGAATCACTTTGCCCATTCCTCATGTGCCTTATGTTTTAAAATTGAGAGGGGAAAACTAACCTATTTTTATTCATCCACCCACCCATATTTTAGTTGGTGTTTTAGTTTAAAGGTCCACTATTGAGCAAAATTCACTTTTTGTATGTTCCTCTACTTACTTTTGGGTCTCTCCTGCTTCTAGAACCAATCCGATAATGTATTGCTAAACATGTAAAACTTTTTCAGAAATGTTCAGACAGTCTTAGTAGAGGGATTGTTGGTGTTGAGCAATCTGACGGCCAACGGGAGGTAACCCTTTCTGAGTCTGGCTCTTCTACAGAAACGGAAACTCCTGCAAGACGCCAAACGGATGAACAGACCATGGAGAGGATGGAGAATTAATAACGATGCAAGTGCGTATCAGATCTGCAGCATTTGATCCTTCAGCGGTTGTGACTCGATGGTTGTTCAGGAGGCTCCACTTCTTCTGCGTCTGGGTTTGCTTCGGGGTGACAGAGCTGTGGTTGTACCACTGTGAGTCTGTGCTTGAAGCCATTTTCATGTGTCTGAGGGGCAAATGTAAACACTGCGTTGGGAGGGCTGGGCCAGCTGCAGCTTATCTGCATAATCGAGACCTAAAACAACACTTTCCGTATGAGCTCAAAACAGGCACAACTTGATTGGGTGAAATCGCAATATGCGAGGATGATTTTGAGTATTAAATGTAATGAACAAGTTTTGTGTAGCCCAGACATTTATTGTGCTTGTTTAAGGAAGCATAACAGTGGATCTTTAAGCTATTTTCATGTCTTCAGTGGATGATCTGTAAGTTTACTTAATATACCTTCATACACACCTCAATCTTTTATGTAGCTTTGTGTGTTCCTATACTGATAAACTGGGAATTATAGAGAAACCACTGATTGTTTTCATGAACCAAAGAGCCTTGCTTTGGTATTCTAAGCACACTGTATTTTGGTTATGCTTTTCTTTTATTGACTTTAGATAAAAAAAAATAAATAAAAATCAAAACAAAAACTGAATCATCATTTATTCCATCATCTTTTTCATCTTTGCATGACATGTTCTAAATCTTATTTTATTTCACACACAACCGATCCCCAAATCAGAGAGTGGATAAAAAAAGAACAACAATTTAGAAATTTTTTTGAAGTAAAATGGTTAGGATAGAGCCGGACATTTTTGCAGAGGTGGGTACTAACTTGTCACATTTAATCGCATGCATTTTTTGAGTAACCTTTAAAAAAACATTCTTCAAGGAGTAGTTTTAATGCACTCTACTTTTTTACGACTTGAGCACATTTATTTTGGAGAAATCTAATTTAATCCAAATTAATTGTAGTGTTTGGCTATTCTATCCACCTCCAATTACTTTACTAAATTAAGAACAAGCATATTTTAAAACAAAAATACCCCCCAGACAGAAACTCTTCCAGATTACGTGAAAGTGAGACTTATTGTTTATGCACAAGGCAGCATCTTGGCTTTAATGTTGTTTTCTATCTACTGGGCTTGTTAAGCCATGTGGAAGTTCAGTGAATTTACAGTGAAAACTATACATTGTCACTGCAATGTTGGTTTCAAAAGCTTGTAAACCAACAAATCTAAAATAAAAGTTCTGTGATGATAATATTGGCTGGAAAACTAAATCCTGGAAGAAAATGGATGATACAGCAACTTTGACTGAATAAAGTAAATAATTTTATTTGGAAATGATTTTTCAGCCTAAATTTGTTATTTTGTGCCCATTTTCTGAAAAACTAGAATTGCCACAAGACTTATTTTGCTCGACCTGATGGCCATCATTTTGTAAAAATTAAATCATATACTACAAACAACAATTACCCAGTACTTGAGTAGCATTTCTACTAAAACATTTTTACTCTTAAGTGAGTTTTTGTTTTTCCACTTCTGCCCTTTTGATTATGAATCTTAAGTCAACAACCTGTAAACTATTGGTGGTTAAATGTCCAAAAATACAGCACAACATTAGCTTTGAAGCAAGAAAAGGAAGTTTCAATGCAGGAATAAATACTTTGTAGTCTGCTGAAAGAACTACAGCAGACATGAAACAGAGCCACAACAATTTCACAATCCTAAAAGAAGGGTACAGGAGATGGGTAGGCAGGAAAAGAAATCAACTGAGGTCTATTCAGGAAAAAAAAAAATATAATCTATCATTTGCAGAATTACCTATCTGACTTGTCAGTAATTTTAAGCAAAGCTGCTGTTATTATGCTTTACTTGCTAAATCTCCAGAGCTTTAAATAATTCCAGCAGAGCCAGGATTTTGCCTCAAGAAGAGCACAGTAGTCCTGTCAGAGGCACCTAAGAGGTGAAAAGGTCATGTATTAATTTACAACTACAAGTGGTCTTACCTCACTTTTTTTTTAAAAAGAATAAATAAATCACTGTGATCAAGTCCAAAATTATTTCTACCTTTGGCAGGTTTAGATTTCAAACTATTTTAAATCAACCAAAAAGGTTGTTTCCAATAGTAAATTAGACATGAATATCTCCAAAGATAACATTAGTAGTTTTGATTTTTTATAAAAATGGCACCTAAAACAGGATCTTAATCCCTTCCAATACTTAAAGAAAACAAACAGAATTACCGTCACATTAATGAACGTCTTATTGTAATTGACAAACAGATTTCTGTGTGTTTCAATAAGCGTCTTGACAATATCTTGGTGAGCTGCATGTCTTTCAGGTTGGAAGGTCTTTTTGCCTTCACCCTGATCTTTAGCTTCCTCTGCTGATTGTCTACTGCATTCAAGTTGGGACTCTGGCTGGACCTTTCCAAAATGTTCACGTTACCTCCAGTAAGTAGAAAAATGTTGGTGAGATTAAAAGACGGCTATAAGTTTAATCTACCATGAACAATGTTGAACTTAACTGTAAAGCAAAGGTGGTGGTCTGAGGAAATAAGTAAAATATTAGGAAAACTTCTACATCTCATTATGTCTACATCTACATCTCACATTTTCTAAATTAATGGGGTTACGGAGATTTTTTGTGAAGAGTCCCTCCAAAAAGACACACAAGGAGCGCCAAACGTTCTAAAAAATAAATAACTGACACTTGAAATCACAGCAGAATGTCAGCTTACCTTTTGAAGATGAGGGCAATGACAAAGTCAGGATTGACTCTGATTCTCCAGTCGCACTCTTTCCCAGGAGGGTAAGGCTGCGGGTAGTTCGGAGACAGAATCACACCGGAAGGACCGCTGACATTACCCCCGCAGGTCGCTGGAGAAATGCGGAATAGTAGGAGAAAGAGAAAGAGATGATTAAAGTCTTGAATTCTGTTATTTGGCAAGATGATAAGCCCTGGTTGTCCACTAACTTTCCCCACAAGGAAGAAAGAGAGGAAATGAGTTAGGCATACAGTACAGGAGAGGTTTGTTAAAGAAGAGAAAATCACACCTTGAAGACAAATATTGCCTCTGCAGGTGGTTGTAGATTGTGAAACAGCATAAGAGAGAGACAGATGGTGAGATTTAGTTACAGACTGTGGGGCTACGGGTAGTTAGGGTGGGGGGAAAAATCACCCCTGGCAGTGCTGTGATTCCACATTAAGCCGTGGAGCAGGGAAAGGATAATGTCAAGAGAGACAAAAAGATGCACTCAAGCAGCAATTTATTAATGTGAAATAGAAGTTTATAACATGCCGAGGAGTCTTCATGATGGCAGGCGTGTGTAAACAAATAATCATCATTGAAATAGTGGTAAACAAGGGTATTAACAGTTGCAAATTGCTGACAGACTGAACACCAGCACAAAAACAGTCTACATTGGAGAACTGAGCTTGAAGAGGCAATAATGTGTATTTTTCAGGGCACATAGTGCCATTTTATAGCACAATCATGTAACCATGTTTACTTTCAATTGTTATAAAAATGTATATGTAAAACATGACTTAAAAGGAAATTTGACTATGTAATTTAATACATCGAAATTGGTCTCCGTTTCTTTAAGAAGCTCATACTCTTTCCAACACTCCTCCTTCAGCACGCAATGCTTCTCTTTACACCATTCAATGTTCTTATCAGCGCTGAACTGAGAAGTGGATCGTAAAATAGAGTCAGCACATGTGCAGTTCCACTAGGGGTTTGCTAATTGTTGAATCCGCTAGTCTGGAGGAGCTGAGAAGGCAAGTGGAGAGAGAGGCCCTGCGAGGCAGAAACTCGACAGGAGAATGTAGCTCCAAGGAAGAGCTCTGGGTAAATAGACGGCCCTTTGTTTACACTCCACATATGTTTGTTGAAGAGGGAATAACATTAGAACATGGTATAAAACTATTAAAAAAAAAAGGTTACATTTATATAGTGCTACCCCTTTAGGAGTTTGTAATGCGTCTAATTATGAGAAATCAAAACGAAAGCACTCAACCTTCTGAGATGACGATGAAGGCAAGTGATGCAGTAAAGATGAATTTAGATTTAGTTCACATTCTAAACCGACACATTCTGTTTTACTAGGTTACAAAGCAAACTCTTGTTCCATCGGTGGTGCCAGAGGACTTTCCCTTAGTGCGCCAGCTCAAAAAGAAAAAAAAAGCAAAGGAGGCTGAGCGATATAAGACAATTTGCATATTGCCTTGCTACAAGGACTCAGGTGATCAGGTCATTTAACAGGCTTACTGATGCTACTCATCTCATGATGCATTCTTAACTATGGATGATGTCATACTTCCCTCTTGACTTTGAATGATAAAAAATTTAGAAGGTCAGGACATTTATGGTAATCACTGTTGACTTAGCATTTACCTACTCTGATTGCATTGGCATAAAAAGTGAGCTCAGTGCAGCAGCAAGTTATGAAACCTACAAAAAAGCATTTTGCATATATATATATATATATATATATATATATATATATATATATATATATATATATGTGTGTGTGTGTGTGTGTGTGTGTGTGTGTATGTGTGTGTGCGCGCGCGCGTTTGTTTGTAATACCTTGTGGGGACGATTTTCCTGACATATACTACGTTGTGGGGACCAATTGCTCCTCGTGGGGACCTGAGCCTGGTCCCCACAAGGGGAAACCCTGTTTTTGGGTCAGGGGTCAGAGTTAGGACTAAGGTATGAATTGAGTTTTGGTTAGGGTTAGGTATGTGATGGTTAGGGTTTGGAAAAGGGTAAAGGTAAGGTTTAGGGTGTAGAAATGAATGGAAGTCAATGGAAAGTCCCCACAAAGATAGCAACACAAACATGCGTGTGTGTGTGTGTGTGTGTGTGCGCGCGTGCGTGCGTGTGTTTTTATCTTCTCTTTTACATACATGTTTGTTTTTTTCCCAACATGTGCGCATGCTGGAAAATCATGCACACATGTGTCTTAAGCTCTAGCTTTAAGCTCAAGCTCAGCTTGTCCTACGTTTTTGAAGCTAAGATTTCTTATCTCTAGTTGAGTTAATCTCTTTCCAATAAACTCAAACGTGTTAGGAAAAGCTGTAGGGGGTGTAAGACACTAAAACATCGAACTGGATAAACAAACTGCCGCAGAATCCTGTGTATAAAGTGTAGAGCGGGGATGTTGGAGCTCAGTGGGCTTCACAAAAGCAGCAAGGTGGTAATAACAACTAAGAAAGGAAAAAGGAGATTTTTTTACGGTTCTGATACAAAAATATGAGCTGTTGATCTTTTTAATGGCAGTATGAAAGTTTTCACCTGATGTTTGAACTCTAGACATTTTGTCAAGAAGTTTCAGCGGTGGAGGCATTTCCGTGCCCCTTCACCACCTTTCACTGGGGTGCTATTCATTGTGACAGCCTACATCACTTCTTGGTGTTGCAACCGCAGCGCTAATGACAGAAAGCCTCTACAAAGTGTGGTGACAAGGGCAGAGGGAGTCACTGAAGGCTCAATCCTGTCTTTGGAGACCATTTCAGAGGATAGATTTAAGAAGAAAGCTCTCAGTATTGTCAAAGATTCTTCTTACCTTTCCCTTGGATGGTTTAATCTCCTGCCAGTCTGGTAGAGGACAATGTATTTCTAAATTAAGAACAACCGGTATGTGCAACAGCATCATTCCACAGGTTGCTTGTTGCTCACCTCTTACAGGAGTTTAGCTGTAGTTATTTTATATGTCATTAAATTAGAAAGTTGTAAATATTTCCACTCTGCCAAAACATATTGTGGAGTTCAACAATGGCATATTAACATGATCAAACAACTGTGCATTTTTATGCCTTTTTGCATTTAAGTTTGTAAATATCAGTCACTTAATCTTATATTGACAGCAGTTACACTTCATAGACTCAGGTCCATCTTAAAATGAATGTTTTGTCTGTAATTTTGTAAGGTTTTGCTACACTCCTGACAAAGTATTTACCCCCTTTTACCGTCCTGCATTTTTCACATTGCCATATAAATTTTAAAATCAGACAAAGCAGCCTGAGTAAACAAAAATGAGGATTTTGTCTGTGATTCCCTCTCCCACCTAGGCAAAAATTAAATAAGCATGTAAAATAGAATCTGTCTGACAGCATGAAGCCCAGCATAAGGGCTCAAAAAGCGACAAATCACACCCCAAGCAAAAGAATTTAAAGAACGTATGAGAAACAAAGAAAATAATCTATATTCTGGTTACAGCTATTCTTAAGGATTTGGGACTCCTTCAAACGACAATGAGTGCTGTTATCCACAAATGAAGACATGGAACAGTAGTGAACCCTCCCATGAGTGGTCTGCCTTCAAAAATGACCTCAAAATTAGTTCGATCACTTATTTAGGAGGTGACATAATAGCCCAGAAAACTCCTGGAAAACTACAGCTCCCACGCCTTCCACTAGGTTCAGTGTTAATGTTTAAACAATAAAGAAAAAATGGAGAAAAATGGAATCCATGAGTTCCAAAGTCAAAATGAAAATTAGATGCTCTCCAAGACTTTTGGGAACATAGTCATTGTACTGGAATTTGGAGTGGCCTAATCAAAGTTAAGATTTAAATCTAAATAAATCTCTGTTGGGATCTTTCAACAGACTGTTTCTGATTAGGATGAGCTGAAATTCCTCCAAAGCACTGGAAAAGACTCAGTTAACCACAATGTTCCTACTTACTACATTTAAATAGCTTTTCACCTAATAAATTAAATTAATTAATTTGAAAGATGCATTCTGTATTGATTCCGATTATCTTTGTTTTTGATATTCAAGTTTCTGATTATCAAAAATGCAGTTATTAAAAAAAGAAAAGAAGGGAGAAAATAGGAACTTTTTTTCCTCACATAACTTTCTTCCCTTCTTGTCTAGAGAAGAAATTCTCTGCTTGGTGTGAATGGATTTTACACATATCTGTGATATAATTGCAGTACTCTTTAATCTTGAATGTTCATGAAGTCAGTTAGGGTAATAATCTGCAGTATGCTTTAGACTTACCCATGCAGGTTGGTGGATCTGGCTGCCAGTAGAATCTGTTATCCATTCGTACACATGTGATGGTGTCTTGGCCTTGCAGTTGATAGCCGGGGTCACACTGGAAGGTCATGCTGTCACCGGGCTCTTTACTGTCTCCGTATCGAGAACCGTTTACGGGGATACCCGGGTCATTGCAGGATGTCGCTGTTGTGGCTGCAAATTAAAAAAAAAAGATAATAATAAATATTGGTACCTGGTATATTCTCATCAAATTTGACCTACATTATTTGCATGATGTAGCTTTCATCAAGTATTTGTATGAAAATGACATGAAATGTGACACGTTTTACACGTTTGTTTGTTTTTTTTGTTTGTTTGTTTTTTTTAACCGTCATTGCATCCAGACATGGACTATCAACATCTCATTTCATGCAAGTGATGAGTTTATCTGGACATGTACCTCTGTGCCTGGTGGTAAACTTGTGGTTCACTGTTCGCTCAGGTTCGGAGCAGCTACATAAACGATGTTTGTTTCTGATCCTTTTTTTTTTGAGTTTCTCCAAACTTTATTTCCAAAATAAAGTTTATTCAGCTTATGTTCAATTACCATCAGCTTATGTGATACAATACTTGGCCAAAATTTTTGAAGATATAAGAAGATGGAGTTAGAATTGATTTAAGACATCATTTTTATGGATTTTTGATTTTTTTTCCCATTCAAATTTTGTTTCAGACCAATAATCATCCAGAAATACTCTTGTGGCAGTCTATGTCTACAAACTAACACCATAATTTGATGTAAATTGTATATCCTTCAATAAGTTACTTACCCTTTGTTGTCTATTATTACAATCATTTGCTAAATATCAGTCAAACGTATTCTTATGCTGCAAAGCTTTCACAAGAAATTGACTTTTTGGGCAAATGCAAACCCCAGAGAGTATGTTATGTAACACTGCAATATTATCACAGGCTAGATTTTTTGAAGACCTAACAAGTAAAATAGCATGGATTGATTACAAAAAAAAACAAACAATATCAATCCACCATCACTGCACAAATAGTAACTTGTTTTGCTTTATTCAAACCTACATCTTGAAAATTATTTAATAAATCTTAAAATGTATATCCAAGTTGCACTAGTTTACTTCTTTCATCAGTTTAATGATCATAGTACACAGAAGACAAGACAGGACACAACTGTAGGGAAGGTCGGTTGTAATATTAATTGAATCCAAAAACCTTTGCCTATTTAAATAAGTGCAATGCTTTAGTAAATCAACATGGAGGTAAATATAAGGAATCATTACCATAGTAATGGAATAGCAGTCCTTTGATTACCATGTCAGGGTGTGTAAATATTTATTGTTTTAAATTTGCGGTGGATGTGGGGAACGCAGAGGGGAACAAGAGATAAAACGTACTGAGTGTAAATATTCATGCCGTGTTTTACAAATGACAGCCTTGTGCATCAGAGTACTGTTCACAATAAATGACACAGAGGCTTACAAAGACTAAGCAAAGTTGTGCCGGCCAACGGAAATGTATGTGAGACTACAGGAGTTTACCACACACCAAACCTGGTAAGTGTCAGATTCACCAAAAAACTCTACAGAATACTAAAATAAATCTTCTAGTTCCTTTATTTGAAAGCATAGTTTGCTTTAAGAAGGATGTGTTCTATCCAAAATTGAACCGCAGGTCTCTGGGGTCTCCCCTCAGTAGTCTACTTAACATGCCTGGGTCTCCTGGTGATACATTAAGTGTCTCATTTGGTTCTCTAGCTGGAGGTTTTCCAGAAATCCTATTATATATTGTATTAGTGCTATATTAACTATTATATTTCTAATGTAAATGGGGCTTGTAAGATAACCTAAAGCTGCTTGAGTTTGCTAATTAGGTAATGTAATTGTTAAGTCAGTAATTGGTTTTTCTTTATGGAGAAGAGATATAGGCCATCAATTCGAGCAGATGGTAAACACCGGTGATTTCACCAGATCATGATACATTTTCAGTTGAATTCAAGGCCATATTTTGATGAGTCCAACCTTAATGTAAGCTTCTTACTAGAGAACTGTATAGAAAATCCTTGTTTGCTGATAAAATAATCAGCATCAAACTGTAGAGTGAGGATGTTGAAAGTCGAGTGGCTATCTTCAGGCAAGGCTGGGCCAGACCACTCTTTCAACAGGATCCCACCGTCTGAGGAGCCAGATGGACCGTCCCAAACTCTCAGAATATCGTGGCCGACCTCAGTGTCAAAGACAATGAAGTGGAGGCTGAGAAAACACAAAGAGGAAAAAGTATTTCAACAAAAATGAAATTAAGAACACTCCTGGCAGGCATGTGAGTTCGCATACCTGTCAGCAGCTTTTTTTATTTCAAGTTTCCTCAATTTTAGTTTTAATTGTGCATGAGGATGAGCGATACAGCATACACAACTGCTTTATATTCACCTGATGGTCTTGCCTGTGTCTGCCTCTATAGTCCAGGTACAGTGGAGGTTGTTGTCATATGGAGCCGGGTATCCAGGGGAAAGAATCCGTCCAGACACTGCTCCAGTTATGTGACCTCCACACTCCGCTACAAGAACAGCACAAAGAAAGATTGTTTTTTTTGAACTAGAAATTTCTAAAGTAAAGCAGATAAACAATACTTTAATAGCAGAAAAATACAACTGTGTCAAGTGTGTTTGAGTTTGCAAATTTTCTATCCAATTCTGACAAATGGCAAACAGCAAATAAGCCAACCACATGCTAGCAACTCATTTAGCAAGAAAATGTAGGCATCTGGATACAGTGAAGACAATTTCTAAGGATAAAAAAGAACATCGTAATGAAAAGAACATTAACTTTGATCTGGTTTGAGTGGTTTCAGAGACTGCTGATCCACTGAGATTTTCATGTGCAACCATCATGAAAAGTTTACAGAGAACGGTCCAAAACCAAGAAATATCCAGTTAAGGGTGGTTATGTGGAAGAAAGTTCCTTGTATATGTCAGAGGTCAAAGTTGAGCGAGCAGACTGGCTTGAGTTGAGAGAAAGACAACAAGAAACACATTTTTACAGCCCAACCATAGTGGGGCCACTTCTGTCAGCCCCAAAACAGAAAACAGCATACTTTACTACTTTTGTTGATCATGTCCATCCCTTACTGACAACAGGCTGTTCATATTTTAATGAATTACATGGTAATCAGATTTTTAAAAAAAATGCTTAATTCATTAGATCCACCTTGGTTTTGTATTTCAAGGTTAGTGAAAAATGTTGAGGCCTGTCGTCCCATAAGAATTATTCCATATTGTTTACAAGTCAGGGAAAAAAATGCTGCTTCAAGCACAAGTGAGAGACATGAGTCTTATCTTATTCTTTGGTTATTTTTAGTCTAAAGGCAAGGGGGAAGATACAGGAAGGCTGTATGCAGATTCAAAATCATAGTGATTGTTCACAGAATCCTTGGTGGCTCATTGAGCCAGCAGATTCCTGCTGATAAGAAAACCGTTTAGTACAGAGCAGCCTTCATGTATCTGTGTTCTGTGTACTTGCATCTTACTGCCCTATGACCTACAACACCATGACAACCTACTTTCATTGGATTACCTTGGGCAGGATGTAAATAGATACACAGTCAAATGTGCAAATCAAAACAAGGACACAAAAGGACAAAAAACAACTGAATAGACTCTTGTCAGTCAGATATGCTTTTGTCTCAGTCACTGTTGATTAAATACACAACAGGTACGATGGTTATCATATAAAACGGAAAAGTGCAGATATCTACAGATGATAACTCTCCACTAATCCTGGTCCAGTACTGAAAAATCAAATTTTGAAAGAGTTAGCGACCACATCCGCATGCACATCTACTGGTGTCTGTAGATGCCCTGACACTTTGAAGCACTGACTTAATGAAACCCCTGAAAGTGTGTTTTGGTGTTTTGGAACCAGATGTTGGCCCCATCTTTTAAGTCCTGTGAGTTGTGAGCCTCAATTGACAAGATATGTTCCTCCAGATGCTCTACTGAACTGAGATCTGAGTTTGGAGATAAAGTCAATAGCTCGTACTCTTTGCTGTGCTCTTCAAAAGATTTCTGAGCTATTCTTTACTTTGTGGCATTATCTTGCTGAAAAAGACTACACCCATCAGGGAGTAAAGGTTTCATAAAAAGATTGTATTCTATTCCATGATCCAGGTCGCTTTTGGTGGTGGACATGTTCACACTAACTGGTCTGCAGCTATGCAGCTCCGTCTAGATTAACTTCTTCAGCAATGTGAGCTACAGCGGACCTTGTTTGTTTGTTGGTGTGAACCACTGCAGATCGCAAACACCTCAGAGGCCAAAAAAATATTGGAGATTCTCTGACCCAGCCATCTAACAATCACTCAATACCAATGAAATCTTCACTTGAAAATGGTCATGGTGTCACACCTGACCGGTTTGTAGAGAAGATCGGATGAGCTATAAACAGGGGCAAACAACCATGGTAGAAAAGAGGCCAACAAACGTAAAAGAGTCTGTTGACTACATGTAGGCAATAAAAAGAGAGAGGCAGCAGAGCAAGAGCCTGGGGCAAGGCCATTTCATGATCTCTATGCTAATATGCTCAGATGTGGGAGACAATAAGACAGACATAGATGGAAACAGTCAGACAGGAGGGAAAACAAACAGAACAATGGAGTGGGAGCTAAGGCAATAGATTATTCCAGGTTAAGCCATTAAGTATTGGTTGTTGGATTAGCTAAAGTAAGATAGGGATAAAGCACCTGAAATTAACGATAACTGAGTGAGAAAAACAGTTTTAATCACATTCCATAAAAAGCCAAAATCCATTGTCATCCAAATGCATTCAGTTCACTCATAAACAGATGCACACGTTCTTCTTGTTGCCATTAGCAACTGTATCAGGCTGGGTCCCACCCCACAAAGCACAGGTGTATTGGCACAAGGTTTGCTTTGTGCAATGTCCCTGCATCTATCTGGTATGGCAGACATTCTTCCAGAAAATTGTTTTTCTACAAAAATGCAAAAAGTAAAAGTACTTCTGGACAAAGCAGACACACATTTTTGCTAGTACTTTACTTGAGGGACTAGAAATTCTGTTAGAAACCGAATTCAATTTACAAAATGCTGGACAGAAATGGCAATTAGTCAGTGACATGGGATCTAACTGGATATTCTGCAGCCAAAACTTCAAATACCATTGTTTGTAATAAGATCTATACCTGCCAAGATATGTCTGTCCATCAAGCTAAGGAAGAACAAGCAACTTTGACTAAACATGGATTTACATTTAGAAGCACAATATAACTTTTTAAAATTATTTTGTGAAAAGTTAATTTTTTTTTTAGAGATGCATGTTTTCTGTCTGCAGTTTACCATAAACCCATATCGGAGGCATTGCAGTTACAGCCAGATGAGCCCAGACCTACGTGGAAAATAGCATGTTAGCTAACATTGCACAATACTCTTAAAATATCATCTCTGCTGTAAATCCTGACCACGACAGAATCATGCTGTGTGGAGCTTTTTATACAAAGAATAAACAGCAAAATGTTTCAATCTATATGCGTAAAATTTGGAGAGTAAAACCCTGAACAACTTGTAGGTATAATGGTGGTTCTCAGTGTTTTCACTCAGGGGACCTGAAGATACTGTATATCCAAATTCAAAACTTCTTAAAAGACATTGACGGCCATGTATCCATTTTCTTCCCACTTCATGATTGTGCACTACTTGGTGTTGGGTCATCATATTCAAAACCAGCATTACAAAAAACTCAATTAAAAATTTGTGATCGTATAACAAAATATGAAATAATTCATCAGGTTTAAAAACTTTTACAAGACACTTTTCTAGAAAAGTCTAATTACCAACAAGGATTCCATGAACAAATATCAATTCACGTTAAGTAGACTGCATGTAAATTATATATTTATTTTTACATTGTGTATTTTTTTTTTCTGGATGTCAGATTATTTTGTTTTTACTTGAGAATAACATCACCATACAATGACACTGTCAGACATTTCTTTGGAAGAGAGCTAACTTTATACCATCAACAGGGGACCAAATATTGACTGCTGAAACATTTATTGTCAAAAAACAGATAACTTTGTGTTTACAGATGAAGCAGAGAGAGACATTTTTATGCAAAGGAGTTGTAGTAGTACCATTACAAATATTTGCCACAGTGTTGAATCAGTCCCCATAAGCTCTTTTCAAAGTATTTGCCTGTGTTGACTCACATATTTGCCTACTCACTGTCTTTGAGTCATTGTGCTGCAGCCTACAAACTGAATCTAGTTACTGTCAAACGTCCTCACTTCATTTATTGTTAAACTACACAAAAACTGCCCAGAGGTTAAAAATTAAACTTTTGTTGGACTGAATTATTTATGCAATGACATCTACACGTTTGCTTGCATACTAACCGATACAGGAAGGCAGTGGCTTGTCCCAGACACGCCTATCACCACTCAGACAGGTAAGCGTACTGCTGCCATGCAGGGTGTACCCTGGGTTGCAGGAGTACAGGACGAACGTATTGGCATAATGCCCATCGTCCTGGGTTTTATACCCATAACTGGGAACTCCAGGCTCCTCACAGCGAACCAGATCAAAACCTAAAAAAAAAGAAAAAAAAAAACACATATGCAAAGGGACAAAAGAGGGAGAAGTGAGACACACATAAAGAACAACTGATCTGTTGTTAAATACCATAAATTCTTGGAGAGAAACAGAAGTACTAAAAGTGCTTAAAAATGTTACGGTGTTCTACTTATATGCCCATTTTTAACGTTTCAAAATGTAAATGTACTCAGAAGTGTTCACACCCACACCCATCCAAAACTCACAAAGACAGATTGTTTTCCGAGCTATTTATACAGAGCTAAAATGCCTAAGATATGAATCAAAACTAGATTTTTTTTTTAAAGCTTTTGCTCACCAGTTATGCAAAAAGGCAATGACGCAAACAAACTCTTCAATGGAAACTCTTACACAAGAAACTTTTACTTTAAATTTACATGAGCTTGAGCAGGATGTCTGTAAATGTCAATCTGTTCCTTTATCCATTAAACAGATGCATTTCACTTCCGTTAACCTTTCTTGTTATTGTCTTGTATAGATGTTCAGTCATTTCTTATTGCTACATTAAGACATCCTTTAACATTAGATGTTCATGAACCTTCTTGTTTCTCTCTCCTTCTGTATGTTTTAACCCTAATCTATCAATCATTCTTATCCATGCTCCATCTCCTCGGTTAAAAGCAAAAACTCTGAGGAACATGTCACCTTTTTTAGTATAATGTCTTACAGATTGAGGGTAGTTTAATGGTTTTACTGACTTACAGAGCACCTATAATATCCATATACCATTTACCCTCATTTGTTTGTCTCGCTCGTTCAGCTGCTCCACCACTCCAGATGTGTCATCCTCACCTTCTTTAAATGACTCGCAGATAAATGCTCCTTTAATAGCCTCTTTGACTTATACAACGGCTGCTCTGAAGTTTTTAACAGGTTCTCTTTAAAGCCATTTAAATGAGTGTGTGTATGTGTGTGTTTGTGAGCCAGAATGAGAGCCTGTTTAAAGCATTTATGTCCTAATTTCCTCTTTCAATGCCTGTTAAATTAGAAAACTGAAATAGAGCGGGAAACCAACCGTTTGCCTCAGTTTACTTGTTATATTAAAAGAAAAACTATGCAATGTTCTAAAATTAACATGTAGGGGATGTGACCAGGTCTAGTCATCAACATAAAATTTACCTGACTGACACACAAAACAGATGCAGGATCTAGGAAGAGGGTAACGTAACAACCTTATCTTTCTGAATTTCAATAAAAAAATGGTTGTAGTTGCAAAAAATTAGCCCGTAAGAGCTTAGGAAAGGGTATTTTTGTGGAGTAATAAAAATGTAAAAACTGCTTATGTGAAAAACAAAAATGCAAACCATGTCAATCATAACCTATTTCTGTTACGTCAATTTAAAAAAATTATAGCGCTTCACCTAATTTATGGAAAACAGGACAAGAGCATGGCATTAACTCACTTGTGTAAGTAAGGCGGAAGCCCTGGTCCGTTCCAGAGGCATTGCTGTTGAACTCCAGCCATAAGTGATTGGACGTACTGTTGATGACACGACCCATCATTCCATCAAGTGTAAAGTTGCCAAGAAGACGGGATGTGGTATTCTCTCCATCATACACCTGTCAATCAAAACACAGTAACGGTGTTGAGCCACATTAATAAAACATGAGTTTGAGTCATTTTGCTTAGCTTTGCATCAGAGCACACTGCATGTTAAATCTACCAGGCACCTTCCATGGCTGTTTGTTTGCTGCAGTGAAAATAAGTAAGAGTAAAAGATAACTGAAAAATACCTTACACAAGTCTACACATGTCATTCAACAACTAGTTTTTAAGTAATGATCATTAGCAGTAATAACAGTGCTATATCTCTAAAAAAAAGGTTCTTGTGACCTTTCTCTAACTATAGGATATAAAATCAGTCTTGGCTTGAAACAAAGGTACTGAGATTTCATGGAAATTTCAAAAACATTAACTTTCACAGCATAAAGTGTATTTTTACAGAATGTCTGAGATTGTCTGTTTGCCAACTTATTTACCTCCATATATGTGAGTTCATCAGAACACCACAAACCCCCTTAAAAGAGAACAAAGCTTTGCTCTCTCTAGACTCCAGTTGTGGTATTTATAGCATCCAGCTTTGACATAACAAAAGAATTAAAGCAGAACAAAGTACCTGACCAGCATTTTAATGCATGACTGACAACATAAGGAGTTGGATTACATGCCTTTCACATTAGTCTTTGACAGGGGGGTAATTTGGGCTGCACACCTACCAGATGATAAAAGAATTTGGGGTTAAGGAACAAATTCAGACTTTTGAAAGTTCAAGGCTCAACAATTCTAATCCATGCAATTATTATTCTGCTATCAGAGTAACTTCTTAAATCAAAATTATACAGACGCACGAGTCGTATATGAATTTATTTGACTTATGTTAACATTTCACTTTTTAAATTACGTTAAAACCAATCACATGATTACTGTTCATTTATAAAATGCTTAATTTTATAAGGTCTAGTCTGAGCAATGTTTGTTAGGGTCTTTGTAATTATTTCTTCATCATTTTTGAAATTGTTTTTAAAACTCCATCAATAGTCTATAAGTGGATGTTGTGTTCTTGCAGAAAACAGCTGCTTAATAAAAATTAATAAGCAACATGGAAATGTTTCAGTTTGTGTAGACTTATTTGAGCAACGAGCTTCTTCAGAATGGACACCATTATTCAAAGGGTTTCAAACCAATTACATTGCTACAATAACTTTCACATGAAAACAGTAACATGGAATTTTATTCATGATTCAGGCTCTAGTCATCTTACAAAGTTTCCTCGCTATATGTTGCCAATCCCCCCCCAAAAAATTGCTGACCTGCCATACTGATGGTTCCCTTGAGCACAAACACCAGGCTTTGATAAGTCACACTGTGCAAACCTCCAGGGCTACTAATGCCACATACTACGATGCAGCATCTGGCATCTAACAGACAGGTTTGTACATCCCCTCAGGCACTTTCTTCTGACGCACTCTGTGAAACTCTCCCATGCCATAAGACCTAATGAAAACCAGCATATGACAGTGCTCTGCATTTATTGTGGTCACCGCAAACCCTTAGAGTTTAGTTCCTGTCCAGTAGCTGTGGAATACCCTACAGAGTAAGGTAAGGTAATTTTATTTACATAGCACATTTTCAGCAAAGCCAATTCAAAGTACACTTGAATATCAAAGACCTCGAAAGCTGTAGTAAAAAGTGATTTTTTTTTCTATTTCTATTTGTGTTTTTTTGTTTTGTTTTCTAGTTTTTTGTGAAAATCATTTCTAAAATCCACAGTTCAACAACTCAGTGTGTAAAGTTTTGTGAAGGTGCACATTACTGTTTATGATATATCAAAACCAAAAACAGCATAGTAAAATGTAATTCCTGGACCAAAACAACATACAGTGGCTCTGCCAACAGTTTACTCTTTGTTGATTGGCTATATGTCAACTTCATTTCTAAACAATATGAAATCACCAATTTTTTTACTGCTTCACTTTCCCCCCACAATCTAAATCCTTATGTCCAAATGATTAGAATATAACCATACACCTGTGATATTGCAATAATAAAAACAGCAATAACACACCAGCTGGAGACCATTAGCATTGCAAAACAAGAAGATCCAGAGAGTGAAGCTGTAACATTCTCAAACACTGCCAAGAAGTATTTCAGAGGCCTATTTATTTATTTATTTATTTTTTACAATCATGTGAATTTTAATTGTTAACTAATGTATTACTATGTTTTTAGGAACATATTCTATTTTCTCTTTAAAAATGTCTTTAATGCACTAAAGGAATCATGACGATTAATATCAGGGATGTTTTTGGAAATTTGAGATCTGAAATCAACATTCAGTGATTAAAATGGTGATTTACTGGCAAATAATGTTGGATGCACTTTGGGGGAATTAGTTTTGAAACTTTTAGTGGAAAATGTTAAAGCTTTAAGTACTTCATTGTGCAACACTGTTTATTGCCATATCAAGGCTGTTAAAGAAAAGGTGAATTGTTCGTGCTTGAACTGCTCAAGCTTATATTTGGCAGCCTGTGACATTTTCACAGATGGATGGTGACAGGTCTGCAGGTGGCAGGAATGCCAAGGAAATGGGCAAAGGTGATGTAGTGTTCTATCTTTACAAGTGCTGCCAGTCAGAGGAGACAACGCTGCATGTAGATACAGCCTGTTTGAGTGTGCGGCGGTGATGGAAAGCACAAATATGGAGAAGGACAGTATGAAATGGCATGACAGTATCTGCAGCCTTACTCTGCTAAATTTCATTTTCCCTTACACGTTCCTCTCCCTCAGGTTTCCCTCTCAGTGCCTGCCCAATTTTTGTATTTTGCTTTCCTCTGTTGCTCTTTCTCTCTTCTTCCCCCTGTTTCTATAAAACTCAGTATGGTTAATGAAAAGCCCTGCAGCTCATAAATCAACATGTCACCATCTGCCACCCCTCCTCTCTCTGTCTGTCTGACTCCCCCCTTGCATGTTCTCCTGCCACCGCTATTTTCGTAACAATTCCTCCACATCCTTGTTTAGTTGTTTTTTTTGTTTTCTTTTTTTTTTCCATTCAACTTATCTTTTTATTTTTCTGCAGAGGTCAAGTAAATCCAAGTTAATGCGGTCGAGTAATTGACCACATTAACTTAGTTGACATTTTGGGTTAAATTCAGCTGGGTAAGCGATTTCTTTGACGGTGTCAGGCTAAAACCTTAGCCAATAGCAAGAAGAATTAATGAGCTGGTTCATATGCTCAAGGAGGTTTTTGCCTTAAGCTTTTGCCTGGAGCTGTCAAACAAATGATCTGTGTTCGGCGTTTTCGCCGGCGATGATGGGAGTTAGCTGCATTACTGCTAGCCTGAGGATCACCAAGCTAATTGCTAGCCTAAATAAAGATTTCCCTGTTTTTATTTTAAACTGTCATTTTCCAGTGAAAGAAAAGAAAAACATAATATATGTTCTGGTAAATAACAACAGAAACTTAGTTTAAAAGATAAATTAATAAAAACTAAATCTTAGTGAATGTAATTTAATTCCACAATTCCACTGGATATTTTTTTTTTTCAAAGCTAATAACATTTCTATTTGTTAAAATCAAGGCATATATCTTTTTAACACTTGTTTGTTCCCATTACGTCCTCATAAAGATTAAAAACTGTTGCAAAAAAAAGGTAAAAAAAAAAAAGATTAATTTTCTGCACAATCTAACCATGTTTTGCATGTCAGCCAAACTTCATGAATACAACACTTTTCACTAAGTCCTTCACAATGGAATATAACAAGCTTTTTCAGAGTAGAATATAACAATAGCATAAAGATAAAAAATTAAATGATGAAAATCAAAAGCAGCACACAGAATAAAAGTACTTTTTACAATTCTAAGAACACTTTTTGAATAAAAATTGTCAATACAACTCAAAAATAAGACAAGGGCATTCCATTATTCACATGTCGCTGTTTTAAAGGAGCTATCTCCAGACGCTTTAAAACACTTCTAAGGAACAATCAGCATTCTCTGGTTAGCTGACCTGAACTTCTCAACTGATGTTTAGTTCCTTAACAAGCCAAAAATGTAATTAAGAACTTGACTCTGCAAAGTCGTGAAGGTTAACAGCAATATTTTGAAGTGAACTCTAAAAGCACGCAAAGATGAAACTCTCAAATCAAGGATGTCTTTTGTCAGCTCAGTTAGTCATCCTTATGCAGATTGTTGTGCCATTTAGAAAGTTAACTTATTATTAAGCTTTTTGTTAAGACAGGTAAATAGGTAGTTGTGATTATCTAAACAAGAAGGAATAAAAGTATAAATAGTCATCTCTAGTGCATGCACTTTCACTAACCTTCTAAGTTTAGGAATATTTCTCAAGTAAAGAATTTATTTGTGACCACCTTTTTTTTTTTTTTACAACCCACATTCCACTAAATAAAGAAACAGATAGATAAATATGGTAAGACACGTTATTAAATCTGCTTTTAAGTTTGACCGAGACAGTGGGGAAATCAGAAACAGGACTGTCCTAAAATAGAACCTGGAGGGACTCCACAGAAAACGGTGATAGAATCACATACCAACTCTTTAACACTGAACTTACCTTTCAAACAGAAAGATAAGATGTGAACCAGTTAAAAGGAAGAACTTTTCAAATTACAACAAGACTAATAGAAAATACTGCATTATGTCAGAAAACCCAACGAGTAAGTTTAGGTAAGGTGAAACAGGATGAAAGACTTACTCTAATCAATTCACTCGTCAGCTCTTTGGGAGCTCTTGGGATCTTCATTAACGGTGGCAAGAGGACAGGTAAGTGGGCAGAGGCATTAAATGGCGATGGGCCATGGCTTAAACTAGGCAGGTTGAAACAAGAAATTTCAGTTTCTGTATATGTAGAATCAATTTATGATGTTGAGTTCAATTTAGAACATTAGAAAGTTATTGGCACTCAACGGTCACCCTAATTAACTAAACTAGAGGGAAAAAGTGTGTCCTCGTTAAATTTTGCATTCTTACAGAATCACTGCAGTTTGTATATTTTGTTCAGTTCATCACAAATGTAATTATTTATCACACTAAAAACCACATTTTTTGAGTAAGAGTGAGAAGTCTGCTAACAATTCAAGAGGCAGCTTTTTGCTTTGGAGTCTATGTTTGTCTTGATTCATGAAATATGTATGTATAGGCAATAGGAGTAGACAGCACCTAAAGACAGCGGCATAATCTATAAACATATCTTCATCCAGCCAGAGCAAAAGGCATTAAAAAAACAATACATTGTACATCCAGTAAGACAGCTTCAAAAACGCAATATCTCATCAAAACTGAAAGCTGGGCAAATTCTCCTCTGATGCTTAGTTATGACCTTGCATTACAACCAAAAGCAAAAAAAAAGCTGTTTACAATAAACTATGGAAAAAAGTTACACTTTAGCATTATGTGTAAAGAATGACATGACTAAACCAGGATTCATTAAATTAGGCACTGATATGTATAGTTTTTTTCATTAGACAATTCTAAAAGTGCATCTTTGTATTAATCTGACTTTTCAATATCAATTTCTTTTTAACTTATGTTAAAAAAAATAATAAATCCACTGTTACGGCAGCAATTTGTACAAACTGAATGCTACGTGCTATTGTTATAAACTGAGAGTTTTGGCATATATGTGGAGAGAAGATTTGTACGTTTCTTGTCATGGTTTTCTTTAAATGTCTAAGTTATTGATAGCATTTAGGCTTATTTGTGTCTGTTAACCATCTCAGTGTCACCCTTTCTTCTCCTCTAGGAAATTGTTATTTTTATTAACTTTTATTTCTGTTTTATACCTTTCCCTCTGGGGACATCTTCAGCTTTTACAATGGCATTAAGCCGCTCTAAAAGTCAGGGAGAACTCTGCTAATACAACCTAACCACAGACAAACTCAACTGATGCTCTCAGCCTAAGACTAACAACAAACTCTCACCACATACCAACTAACCAGGCCCTCACTCATAGTGCTAAGGCACATTGTGAATAAAAACAACGTAAGACTCTGTCAAGACTGAATCAAGACTGATTTAGGGATTGAAGATGAAAAGTGGCAGTTAGGTGTTGTTAGTAAAATGTATTTCATTACACGGTTATTACCAAGTAAGAACACAAATACAAAGTAAGGTGTTTGTCAGTTTGCTGGTTTGAAACATAAACACCTATATTAACCGTAAAAATGAGTCCAAGTAGACCAGAAAGTGTGCAGCAGAAAAGGTGAAAAACAAAAGAACCAATATGTGGCAAGAACCCAATGAAAGTTTAGACCTTAACACAGTTGAGCTGCTGTGATAGGACCTTGAAAGCAGCATATTAACAAATGTTAATATGCCAGAAAATAATTACTCAGCGTTACTGCTACTAAAAGTAACGATACAAGATGTTCAACCTTGGCATGCTGAATTTTTGGCAAGCGATTTTTTAAAATTTGCCTTTAGTTTTGTTTAATACATTTTAACATGCTGGAATCGGTAATTTTGTGCATTTTAGTTTTGTTTTGATCGTTTAGAATGTGGTCGAAAAAGAGATTATCATCCCTTTATAATGACTTAACCATAGACTTGAAACATTGCATACTGTTTTTACCACAACGATGTACTTAAATGCCAAAATAACTACTATGATTACACCACACAATTGTGATGTCTGATGATAAGTGCAGATGGTTCAGTCACAGGTATTTAATTTTAGATGTAAACACAGTAAAGTGTTTGCATCTTTGTAAACAGAGCTCTGGGGTTTTGATGTATAGATAGGTTGGTCTTTAACAGGTGGTAAAATTACTTAAATCTCACCTCGTGTAAGAAACACTCTCACACACACATCATATTTTAAAACAATTTCCAGAAAGTCTATCTAACTACATCACCCAGCCCTCCCGAGATTATACCCCAAGACACGTTACACTTTTGTTTTATCGTGAATACACCTTTAAGATCCTTTTATACGATCGCTTGGTATTCTTGTGAGTTATGGCTCCTCGTTTTACTTACAGATACCACAAGCTGCAACAAATGAAAGTGTATAAAAGCCAAGGCCAGCCCTCAAATACAGCAGTAATTCTCCCAAGAGTTAGAGGAGGCTGATTTGTTCCCTTTCAGCTTCTGCAGAAGCACAACTATCAACACTAATAGAGAACATTGTTAATAACCCTCAGCAGGAATGTTTGTTCCTCTGCACACAAATATTCAATACATTTAAAAGGTAGAGCAAACCTTGATAATACAATTTAGATATAATACTGCTCTAGGAATTCAAAGCCCTTACTGCAATATGTGTTTTACTTCCAGTCTTGTTTTTTTTACACAGTTCCTGTAAGCATAGGTTCACATGGCTGGAATATGCTCATTAATGGACTAATGAAAATAGAGTTTTACTGCATAATCCATAGATTTTTACAACCTGCCAAAAATATCTGATTTGTCCTCGCTTGTCGGAGTGTCATGTCATGCATACTAGGCAACTACCATATGAAATATTCTTTAATTTTACACTAGCTAATCACACAACAGTTATGCTGAAGCATAAACTGAACAGGAAAAAAGCTTATATTTCATATTATACTGCAAGAACACGCATCTGGATGATATAATCTTGCACATTCACCTTTTGTGTGTGCATGTGTGGGCATAGATCCCTAAATAAATTAAACATTTATGGATTTTCCACCTGGGGGAAGTTCATACTGACACACGTGTCTGGGTGTTTGTAAGAGACAAACAGAGAGCTAGAGAGAGCAAGAGAGGAAGAGAGGGAGAAAGACTAAGCATACCTTTAGATAGTCTCCATCTTGCAAAGAGAAGCGCTCAGCTTTCAGCCTGATTCCTTTGCCCTTTTCAGTAGTGATGCGGTAGATGCACTCATGGTTGTTATCGTAGCTGGAGGGAAAATTTGGAGAGAGTAGAACACCTTCTGGTCCTAGCGTGGAAGCTCCACACTCGGCTGCAGCAGGGGAGAAAAGCAAAGAGGAAACAGTGTGGGTTAAAAAAAAAGGAAAAAAAAAGAAATTACATCAATTCTGTATAATTATCCATCATTGTCCATGCATATCTCACTTCCACATGAAAAAGAATGATTAGTGTATAATGCATATCAAGGATACAGTGACTTTAAAATGTACTTGCACCTCTTCCTGGGATATGTTATGTTCCAGTAACAAACTTCAATGTATTGTTTGCGATTACCAACTCATACTGATGCATAATTTTAATTGGCACAGTCTAATTACATTTGCACAATTACAAATTTGAAATGCATATGTAATCACTCAGCTACCCCTAAATCAGATCTAGTGCAACCAATTGATTTCAGACAGCGTATATAGAGTCCACCTGTGTGCCATCTTTTTTTCCCCCTCAGTATTAATACAGCTGTTCTGTGAACAGCAGTGTTTAAACAGCATCAGACTAATGCACACCAGGCACATCAGGGATAAAATTGTGAAGAATTTTAAAACAGGGTTAAGCGTTACAAAAACTGTTCTAGCATTAAGCTGTTCAACAAATTGTCCAAAAACTACAATTGTCTCCAGTAAGCCTCATAGGGTCAAACTGGCGCATTACAGTCGTCACGGCCAAACGTTAGCAATTGGGTACAAATTAAATCTTCAGTAGAGTCCAGGCCTCATTTCTCAATAGCTGAGGGTCCAGACTCTCTGTACAAAGCAAAATGTAGAACACAAGGCTGGTTTTTACCAGGCTAGCATAATTGGAAACCAACCAAGTCTGACTGGAAAGGTGAGTAATAACCAGGGCAGCAGCTCCATGGTAATTCTATTGGAGCTGCAAAGGTCCACATCTCAGGTGGGAGAAGCTTTTTACAAGGAAAATATTGGCCGTGCTCCTCACAAATCTCACATTTATGGAAGGGTGGCAAAAAAAAAAAAAAAAGCTAATGGTGAAAAAAAGCAACAAAAAGCCCGTTTTGCAGCTGCCACAAGCTTTATAGGGACAAAAACTGCAAAAGACTGGGTGGAGGTTCACCTTTCAACAGAACAACAACTCCAAACATACAAATAGATCTATCATGACAATTGTAGATTAGAACATATTCATGTGTTACAATGGCCCAGTAAAAATCCAAACATGAAAATCAGCAGCAAGATTTAAATATTATTCGAGACGTCTTGAAAGGATCAGCTTTAGGAGGATAAGCCGCACTTTTGAGATTTATCTGAAACAAATGGTAGAAACTAGGTACCTTTCCATTTTCTCTTCATACTGACATTCTACTATTTCCTTGGCTATTGGTCAACACAATAATCCAGTGTTTCTTAATGGGTTTCCTCAGTAACCAATGCCCTGAATGCTTTAGATGCTTTTCTGTTCTACAACACCTGATTCAAATGATGGCATGAGCTCCTCTGCATGCAATCAAGAGCTGCAGAAACATGTTAATCACCTACTTATTCAAGTCACCTAAACACCTAAAACATGCAGGGCAGTGGTCCCTGCAATTGAGAAACACTGCAATCATCACACAATATAGTTTGTAGTTGTGACATACCAAGAAATTAATTAATAAAATCTACAGTCCAGATTTAAACAAAATACAGATTATAAGATCCAAAATAATTACAAAAATATGATCATCCTTGTTATATTTAAAGTACTGAAGATAATTTAATTTAAAAAAAAACCTACATAAGTCATAAAGACATTAAAAGCAAAACTTTGCGTAAAAGTAGGGCAAGAATGGTGTGTTAAAAATGTTAAAATTATACAGAATTATCTTTTAGATTATCTGTTGATTAAAGTTAATGAATTAAATAACTGGTAATTTCAGCAACAACAAAAAAAAAAGTTTTATCTTATGTAAATGAGGAAACCAGAAAATAGAAAAGGTTTAACAAGTTTTCAGTTACCTCTAAGAAGAACAAGGAAGTCATGAGAAACCCAAAAGTGATGCAGTTGGTGAAGAATATATATAAAAAAACTAGTATAAATAAATATAAAACACAAAGCACTTTTGTTACAACGGAAGAACAGAGTTGGTATACGGCTTTTGTTTCTCATAAATTAGTTTTAAAGTTAAATCACAACCACATAGAGGGAATTAGAAGAATTAGAAGTTGATGCAAAGAAGCTTGTAAGAGTGAAAAGAAGGAGAAATCATTTCAGAAGAAGATAGAAACATTATTTGAAACTATATTAAACAAGGATGGTGGTGGCAAAAAACCCCCTGAAGATTTAACTCCTCCTTTAAAACATCCAATATTCTAATTATCTACCAGAAAACTGCCCAAATACAGAGAACAAGAAGAAGTAATAAGGAGAAGGACAAAGCAAAAGATGAACGATGTGTTGTTGCCAGTTGCTGCTGGTACTTCGCTTCCTCTTAGTCAGACCTGATCTCTTGACAGATAATGCTATCATAGCATTTTCAGTCCACTCTCTCTGGGGCTCGGAAATTTCCAGCAGCCCCCAGCCAGACTCTCATAAATTACCAGCAGCATCCTGAGAAACACTGATAGCCATCAAATTCCAGCAAATTACAACCTGCTAACAGAATAATCCTGGCAAATAAAACCAACAGTCCACCAGTCACATAACAGTAAATTACCACCGTGTTCGCAGTAAAATACTGTCAAATTTACAACCCAGAAAATGCTGATACTTTACCTCCATATTCATGCAGTACAGGAGGCAATTTGAAACTTTTACCTCATCATCTACCCGTCGCACAAGACCATATCACTTCACTGCTGCATAAACTGAAAATGACACCTATGCTTGTGAATTTAATTTATATAAGTTTATGAAAAGAAGGAAAAAATGTATTAAAAAGTTCTCTCAGTGTTTGTGTAGAACTTCCACAAATAAATTACAAGTCTGTGTTTTGTCTCCATCGCCTTACCTATACACCTCGGCAGTGTGTTGCTCCACACTCTCCTGCCACCTCCGAGACAAGTGATCTTACTGTCTCCCTCAAGTCTGTAGCCGTGGAAACAAGAGAAGGCAAGCGAGTCACCGACTCCAAATCGAAATCCCATCCTCCTGCTGAATGCCGGCACACCGGGATCCTCACAGGGCTCCAAGTCGTACTCTGAACATGCAGGCAAGAAAGATAATATGACTGAGGAGCGAATGGAAAAAGGCTGAATATATTTAACCTCACTAAGGCTTCAAGAAAATTGAATAAGTCTTTATTTGATGGATTACATTGGTTAAGAGGAGCAGTCATAAATATAAAGTCTGCTGACGTTTTAACAAAGATGACAATTTTAATCAAACACCAAATAGTTGGTTTTGACATAACAGAAATGACTTCTTCTATAAAAAAAAATGACTTAGAAACTTAGAGAAGTATTTTATAATTTACTGATGTGCACAGGACGAAAAGTGGAATTTTCGACAGCTATTGACACCTAGTTCTGCCGTGCTCATGGAGATTGAGGGTTATCGGCAAGAGGCTTTTGTCAGAGTGGAAAATTGTAGAGCACTGCCAAGAATGGCCAAAAACGCTGTGTGTCCGCGTTCCCCTATCACCCCCCTCCCCTTGGGCGTGGGAGAGGTTTTCGTATTTAAATAAAGTTGCTGAGAGCCATGCAAATGTAAATCAACTGTTGAGCACCGGCCTTTTGACTCTCTGAACCATTTTACCTTCTGTTCACCTGTTTCTAGACCCAGGATCTGGCCAAAACCCCTCAGTGTTATTAATTGAGACATAATGAGATTTAAGCACAAAACAGGCATTAATGCTGAAAATGTTCTAATGTTACAAAGTCACACAAATGGAACAAATTTAGTGTGACATTCACCATCCAGCACTGAACACACTTAGCTCAACTTAGGGATGTAACCTTAACACTTAAGTGTGCATATCAAAGTACAATTTTCAGGGTAAATCTGATGATATATTGTCAACATTGCATGTCTGTCAAGCTCATCCAAGATTGTGTGGTGGAATGCAGACAGAGCCACTGCTGTACACATTTCCAAGAGAAGTTTTCCGCCAACGTGAAAACACTGAGCTCTGGAAAAATTTTCACCTAACTAACAAATAATTTAGTCATTTCAGCAACCTTGGTTTACCATTTCTTTTCTAGGGTATACTGCATGTTTAATAACAAAGGCCAAATGTGTAATTATCATTAAATATATATATAATGTAGCTTGGTTGACAGTCTACTATAATCTCTACTGTATATGTGCAGTTTTTTTCATCACAGATCAGACATCTGTAGAGAGAGAAAAACAGCTTTTGTTGTCATTCCTTCAGAGGAACTTTCACGGTTGGAAACAAATTTCTTGGATAAACTAAAATCATTTAAATAGTATTTGACTTGAAACTATTTCAATTGATGTCAAAAGAAATATGTGCACAGTACAAAAAAAGTCATACAAAGTTTAACAATAATTTTTCATGTTAAATAGAACTGCTACATCAAGAAACATTTTCACTGATTTCAAATAAATCTGGGTCAGTGTGAATAACTCTTTACTGCTTTTCTTGCATTCGTACCTGAAAAAGTTATATTAAATCCTTCGTAACTCATGGAGAAATCTGATATAAATCGCAGCTGCACACTGAAGTTTCCATAGAGTCCAGCTTTGACGCTTGGTGGAAGCACTGAGCCGGTGAGTCGAGCCACCGGAGCCTGGAAGTTGCCATCTTCAATGATGGACAGGTAGTCATGGTTCTCCTCTAGGTGGAAAGTATGAAAAACCAGATGGACCCCTGGATAAACGGGTGGAAGATTGGGTGAATGGATGGGTAGATGGATAAAAGAAAGCAAAATTAGACAAGGAGAATCAAACTAATCCGAATAAACAGGAAATACAACAGAAACAAAAGTGGTTACAGTAAACATGTCCCCTCATGTACAAGAGTAGCAGTCTGCAGTTTTGTAAGCAGGTACATGTTCTCTAACCATTCACATAACAACAATTACAACAGTAATTTCCAAAGCACAGTTTGTGCTTTCATTATGTCCATGCATTTGTGTTTGTACCTTTTCCATGAGACACCTCTATAGTCCAGGTGCAGTTCAGAGAATTGGGGTAAAAATCAGGAAAGCCAGGAGATAGAATTGTTCCTGTTTTACCAAAAACATAGCCTCCACACAGCGCTAAAGTAAAAAAAATAAAGAAAACAGGAAAGATTGGAATCAAAAAGGAGAATATGTAATATTTATTACATTACAAAGACACAACAAACTGTGAGCTACAACACAAAGTCCAGAGATCTTAAGAAATTCACAGATATGCCTGCTTCTTTACACTACACAGAACAAGAACAATGTGCCCTACAGTGTGTTTTTACTTAGGTTGCAGGTTTACCACATAAAAATAGTTTTTACTCAATTAATCAATCGCACATGTATTTCATTGTGCTTGGTGGAAAACCTTACCTTCATGAAAAAATAAAATAAAATACCAGAGAGTTGCATAGTAAGACCAAATGTTAAAAGAACTTAATAGTATTATGTTGGACCCTCTTTTTCCTTCAAATATGCATTAACTCTCTGTGGCACAACAAGGTATTTTAGACATTTTAATCCATATTGACACGAACGCCTAATGCATCACAACATTTCCAGGATGCAAATCTCCTGTTCATCACATGCACACTCTCATCTTTTGAGTTGTAAATAGTAGAAAGGAAGACTAAGAATGCCTTTCAAATCCGTTATTCTCTAATCTTGGTGTGCATCTGTGAATTGTAGACTCAGATACTCGTTCTTTGGCTACATGAATGTGGTCAGCTGATGAGCTACTGCTGTAGCTCATGCGCATCCAGTTTTGACAACCACTACAATAAGAGTCTCTAACATAAAATATTTTTTTTGGTTGTGGTCACTAAGCACAATATCCGACTTTTGATGCATTCAGTTTTTTACACTTCAACACACAGGTCAGAAATACCGCCAAAAAAATCCTTTATAAACCGCAGAACTTGTGTGGTATATATTTTTGAAAATGTCCTTGAGGTTTGGTTTATGTTGGACAAACAGAAAGAGCTTCGCAGACTTTTACGAGACCACAAATCCACCTTATGTACAGCAAATATGAATTGCCTGGCACCATGTAAAGGCCAACGTATATATAGTTCTGGATCACTGGTCAAGTTTTGGGGGGCATTACGAAAATCTCAGCTTTTTTAGTAGCCAATTGGGTGATTTGGTTTTTTTTTTTTTTTTTTGAGTTAACTTTTGAATATTTGATTTTGTCAATGGTTTTAATTAATGATCCGCTTTAAGTGTTTAGTGTTCATCTTTCTTTCATTTTGTTAAGTGTTGTTGATGTGGACAGTGAATAATGTGGTGAGCGCCACTCTTTGTTGGGTGGCCAGTTTCCTTGTAATTAGATTTAATCATGTCTGCAATATCATCAGTTATTCATGTCTACCTCTACGCCTGCACAATAAAAACTGACAATCAGTGAGGTCCAGGTCAGATTGCATGTCCTTCAACTGTGAAGCTGCTGGGGTTAGCAAACGGTTGCTGTAACACACATCAAAGATGGCATTACAAGTAACTTGGTTGTAACGAGTGGTTAATTAAGCAACTGTTGCTGTTCTTTCGTCTGGAACAAGTCTACCCATTATCCTCTGACATTACCAAGCCATTTTCATCTACACATCTGCTGCTCATTAGATGGTTTCAATCTTTTTCAGATGGTTCCTTGTGAACCCGTGAGATGGCTGTTGGAAAACTCCCAGTAGATCAACAGTTTCTGACATACTCAGAAAGCAGGTGTACCTGACCGATATGCCAAACTACAAAAGAGAATGCTGAAATCCTGAGTGAAGTCTTAGCTCTTTCCTTAAAATATATACATTTCTTCTACAAAAATGATGCAAGTTACCTCAGGATATAACCTAACATTGTATAGATGGGGAGAAAAGTCCCTTTCAGGATTTCAGTTCTGTACGCAGTTTGGGTTACACTGAAAGGCTTAAATTGTCTAAACAAAAAACGGTTATTGAATAAAATACAATGAATCACTATAACTGATCTTAACAGCTTGTTTGTTTTATGGGGGAACTATATCTTTTTTTGTGAGTGTGCAAAAAGTGTGGTAGATGCAGCAATTACACAGAACTACATCCAAGCTCTGTGTAATTGCTGCATTACACAGGAGCAAGAATGAGACAAATACCAAGTTCAGTTATAACAGAGTGAGATTGTTTGTTTTACGATACACCAAAGCCAACCTTTAGTTCCACTTTAATTTTGCTGGAGAGCATATTTTATTGTAAATTCTCAACTATTATTATTTATTATTATTTATTATTATATATATAATAATAAATAATATATATATATATATATATATATATATATATATATATATATATATATATATATATTTAGTGCTTATCAGGAGATATAAGGTATATAACATATTTATTTTTGCCTAGCCCTATTGCAAGTACATTTATATTGCAGAATTAAATGGGAGGGTATTTATATCAACCACAGAGACCTATTTATTACATTTTGTATGGAGCAATCCTACTGCCAACAGTATCTTCATCATGTTCCATTACCAGGATAGGACATCAATTTTATGTCTGAATTGGAAGAAAGCGGCTGCACTAAAAGTGCCCACGTGTTGTACAACACTTCTGAGAAGACAAAGCATCTAAACAAGAGGCAATCTAATAAAAATGTTTTCAAAATACCATATTGGTTGAAAAACATTTCACTGCCTAGTTACATTAGTACAGAAAAAAATAATATTAACAGACCCTCATAATCATTCATTTTACCAAAACCTTTTAATCTGACAAAATCAAAGAGTGAAGTCTGATGACACTTAAGTGATGGGACACCATTATTTATCGAATTAGATTCAACTTTTAATACCTGAACAGGTAATTAGCTTCAATAAAATAGGCTAAGGGCTGCAGCGTCAAGAATTACACTGCTGTGCTTTTGGCAATTTTTCTACATCAACAGGTCTGCTGAGCTCAAGGCTGTGCATTAATTTCAGCTGCTCTTTATAGACTCCTCCGGTCATTAGTGAAGTGAGTGTACTGTGCCCCGTTTTTGAAGATCAGTGCAGTTCTGGAATCTCATCGCAGAGCCAAACCTTCCCACAGGTACTCTTTATAATTTGACTGGAGGCCAACATGTCCTGCAAAGAAAATTTACCCCCATCAGGGACTGAAACTGATTTATAAATGAAACAAAACTCATGCAGTACTCATATCGAACAGAAAGAAAAAAATACAATAGTAATATAAAAAGGGGATTAAGAGGCTTTAGAGACTGCTGAATCAATACATGTTTGCTTTTGTTTTTTGTTTACTACTTTCCAATCAGTGCTTCTTAGTTAGATCTGGTTAAATTGGAGTTAATTAAACTGTTTCTGTTATGAATGGTGAAAGCTTGTTTTATTTTAGCTGGAAAGAAAGAAACAGACACAGGCAGACACCTACATTTTAGATTCTAGAAGATTTTACAGCTATGGGTCAGTTAGCAGTGTGAAGGTATGCAGAGGTTTTAAAAGGTCAAGGTTTCCAAACCACTTTAGCTTTATTTCTTTTACTGAAATAGGCAGAAAAATGCCATAAATTAGACTTTTTACGTGCTGTATAAAGGATATATCATCTCCTTTTCACGTGTTGCTTTCCAGTGCTGGTCAGGTGGCTGACACATGGCTACTATGGACAAAATATTCCATATGCTTGGACATATTTCCAAGTGCAAATAACACAGAAGACAAGCTCTGAAAATGAAGGAAGTGCTCCCCATTGTTCTCATTAACAAAAGTCCCTTTTAAGACTGTAGTTTTCAAGCTATGAATCTGCAGGTTAAAAAAACAGAGAGGGCTATGCAATTCTATTGGTTAATATCTCAAATTCATGTTATTTTTCAAAATGAGAGTGATCCATACCATGAGAATCTTATTGCAGTTTATTTGGATTCTAATTAATGAAAGTACAACATTTAGTTTCTCTTAAACGTATGCTCTAGTACAGTGTTGAAAACTCGGACTGGGTTACTCCTCCATAAACAACTGAATAAATGTGCCAGGCCATGGAGGAACGTGCTGAGGAGAGGTTAAGAAACCTGTTTGGTTTTAGTAGAGGCCTTCAGCTCACTTGTATTGTTGGATCTGGTGTCTCTCATATTCCTCTTGTCAATATTATAAAATTACCTACAGGGATAAGATCTGATGTATTTGTTTGACAATCAAACAGTGTTACCATGTGATTAAATCAGGTGTTTGTGTCAAGTCCCTGCAAAAACTTAAATCAATATCTTTATAAAGCTAAAAACTGCATTTAAGATAACCAAGAGTCTGTGGCTCTTTGCTCTTTCTCTTGACTCTGGGACCTTGTCTTCCAAATGAAATGAAAAATTACTTTAATCTGAAATGAGAACATTAGAGCACCGAGCAACCATCCTGTTCTTTTTCTCCTTAGCCCAGCTGGATGTTCCCTCAGCTTAAAAAGTGGCTTAAACTAAGAAATCTGACAGCTGTAGCCTGTGAGCTAGATGTCATTTTGTGGTAAGTTTTAAAGCAATGACTCAATTTGCAGGCCATGCCTTGTGAGTCTCTGCAAAAATCTTGAACAGCCTTTGCTTCAAAGTCTGTTTTAAGGCTGTCGTTATACCTGTTGTCTGGTATACCTTTTTCCTTCCATTCATCTCTCTGTTATGTGCAGAGTTAACAACCAACATCTGACTTTGCAAGTGTCCACTGGGCAACTGTCAAGTCAACACTCTTTTCCATGATTGTGTAAAGCACCATAAGGGCGTCACACATCATATTTTTTTTTTTCTCTAGTCTTCTACAATGTTCAAAGTTTCCAGGAAACTTAAACTGATTTTAGATCTCCATTATCTGTAACCCATAAAAATAGTGTGAAATAGAATAGAACAGAATGAAAAGCTTGAAAGATATCCCTGTGTTTAATGAAATTATACAAAATTGCAGTTTCACATTTTGAAATAATTTGCTAAAATATTTCATTTATTTATGAGATGGACTTGTATGTCTTCTAGCTAAGTGTTACTGATATATTTGATTTTTTATTTTTTTTTTAAGAACAAAACATAAAGTTTACATAGCAACGCTCCAAGTTTTCAACTACACTTTTAGAGATAAGAGGATA